TAGTAAGATAATGTTCTCAGAGACAATTACTGTCTCCTAATAACTAATTTAATTGAGTTGAATTGAAAATAATTCAAATCAACACTTCAATCAGAATGAATGAGAACAGATATATGTCCAAGCTTATTGTCTAAGCATGTACTTTGGCAGATGCATAACTTCAAGTCATTTAAGTTGCTCAGTCTAAGGGATTTTGTTGTTGTTTATCTCAGAGTAAAATGTATAATCGTCACTGAAATCGTTAAGCTGTATATCTTATCTTTGCCCTCCTTTATACTTCACACACATGCTTCTAGAGCATGCAGAGATGCCCCAGTGAAGACTTCCCTGTCCAGTGACCACAAAGATCTATAATAAAAATGTGGATAGGATATTGCTTTAGCCTGTTGCCAGCATGTGACCAGTTCTAGGCCTAAGGTTTCGAAAATGTTGGATTTGTAAAGATTTTTGTTTTCCCTGTCTATGACAAAGGCAAAACGTTTGTTAGGATTTTTTGCTATTTGCTGAAAAATAAAACGCCAAAATATTCTCACCTTCCGCTAAAACACGTTGATCTCTGATATTCCTGTTTCCACTGTTTGTTGTTGAGATGTTTCTAAGGCCCCGTTTATAAGCAATTGTAATAACAACCAGGCTTCTTATTCGAAGTGCACAGCGTTCACGCAACAGCAGAAAACAATGTAGTTCTAGTGCCCGGCCAGTAGTTGGAAGTGGAAAGGCAGTTTCAACTACAGCTTCGCATGGTTTGGTTTGGACGGATGGACTCCATGTAGTGCTCGAAAGACACCTAGCATTAGTTGACCCGCCGCCATTGTTGTTTATGCTGTTCTCAGCTAATGCGCAAGTCCAAATGTACCTGTGGGGAAGTGAAGGTCATAGCAGGCAGAGAATGCACAACTTTTTCTTCACGTGGCTGCGAATCAGTCCCCCGCTGGGCAGCGTATCTGTTCTGTTTCTGTTTCTCAACGCTTGCGTTCCTCCCCAGACGAAACACTGTAACTGAAAGGCCGATCCATTTCCCAACTCTTAACGTTTTACTGTCGCAGCTTCCTCGTGTAAACGGCACCTACAAATCTATCCTGTGATGAATTCTGGAAATGGACATAGCTGCCTATTTAAGGTCCCAGACAGTGATTGTCAGAGGAGAAGCCAAACCATGAGGTCTAGGAACTATCTGTAGACCTTTGCCTTTTTGCACTTCTTTTACATCTACTCTACATGCTGCTGTTTCCTGGGACTCTAGCTGGTGATGTAAATTGTAAACTATGTTATTGAAAGTGACTACTGAATGGACACCAGAGGAAAGGGGATGGGCTCAAATTTGTATAAATTCTCATTACACAGCCCCATCCATTCCCTCTGCATCTCCTCACAGGTTTTCTAATTGTGAATACATGAGTAATACTATTCATTGAAATTCTATCTTTAGAATATGAAGAACATTGTTAAATGGTGCTGCTACGCACGGCCAAGATTTTGAAAACATCTTCTTTTTGATTGTAAAATATTGGACATAACAGTACTGATAAAGTTCCATGTTTGTGCCTCAAAGACAATTTGTAAAGTTGTAAAGTGTAGTAGATGTTTGGGTGACTTTTCCATGTGAGAGCCGCAGCTGTTGGAGTTGTGTTTATTCTAGATCTACTACTAGAGTAATAGTGACCTACATTGTTAAAATTAAACACAACATTGTCTTGGTGATATTTTTATCTCTCTAATCTGTAAATCCATTTTTTTTTTCAACACTTAGTATATAATTATTGTTAACTGTAAAGAAGTGTTTAACCCAATGTAACAGAGAATGTGAATTTAGATCATATACTTTCAAGCACTTATGCTGAAATGAATTAGTGCACAGACTGCACTCTCGCACAGTGCTTCTGCCGATGAGGCCGTGGTGTTTGTTGCTGCCCTTTGGCATATTAAGTTTCAGATGTGCAAATCTCCAACTTGGGCCAGAGCTAGTGGAAATTTCCACTTCTCATTCGGACAGCATTCTATGTCTTGAGTGTGCTACGTTCTAACAACCTCATGCTTTAAGGGTTTTTTAAAAAAACAATGGGGGGAAACAAAGTATAAAGTATGTTATATCATTTAAGATTTGAGAATTCTATAACAATAATTAATTTACAATATTTAATCTGTTATAAAGTTCCTTGTGAAATACCCTCAGCTAAAAGTCACTTGTCTGTTGTCAGTTTTACCAATGAAATGGATTACAAGCATTAGGTCACCAAGTGGAGAGACTGGGACACATTGTTTATTAGTAGTAAGTAAGTAATGTAAGTAATGTTTATTTATATAGCGCATTTTACAGACCAAGGTCACTATTAAGTGGTAACTCGCTGAAATTGACAGTATGTCTACTGTATTCTATTGTTACATTAAACTTCTGTTCTGTGTTTTGTTTATGCCAATGTCCGGTGGCTGTGGTATGCTGTGACGTTATGTAAGAGGGTGAGGCGATGTGCGTATGACTGTGCAGATGGTGGGAGCAGTGAGGAGGAGAGAAGACAAGGCACATCAGTCCAGCCACATAACTCTCATAGCTGGAACGGTCTGTCTGACTCTGAAGTGCATTATTTCAAAACAATAATGACATGCTCTCATATCCTTTTATGAGGCAGTAAAGCAATCTGCAGAGAGTATAACCGTTTGGTGAAGCATGAAGGAGGCTGACGGATTAACAGCAGGTTGTGACAGGAGGCCCACGTTACACTTTGGTGCTGGATTTACACGCACACGATCTTATGAGTGTGATCTGAGGAGGACAACCAAAACTGTCCCGACCATTAACCAAGGGATTGGTCAACTGCAAACGCCACATTTCCCTTATTAACATAGTACTGTATTGTGAACACATGACTCCTAAGTGTGTTTAGAAATGGTATGCAAAACTTTAACAGTTCAAACTAAATATGGAGCCATGAAGCATTATAATACAAATATATAAGATAAAATGTCTTTGAACTGTATTTGAATATTCACTGTAGATAAGAGCAAAAATGTTATGTTTTTGTCAAATGCTGTGTCAAAAAAAAGGCAAACTGAGAAAGAAGGATCTGTTCAGCTGTTCAGGGAGCTCCTATTTTTTTGTCACATCACTACACACGTGACGTTTCAGGGCATAGTCTTTGTTCTAATGAGTGCTTGTGAGTACAAATGTGTGGAACAACAGATGGAAAATAGCCAAAAATGCAAAAAAAAAATGATAATTGTCTTCCCATCCAATTTAAAAATCACCTCCCTTGATTGTCTTCCATGTGACCCTTGTTCTCTGACTTGGTGTGTTGACGAGGGAATGAGTGACTTGTTTATTTTTCCTCAAAAATAAATCTGGAAACATTACAAATTCAGTAATACGTGGACTTTATTTTCCCATACCAGTCTTGCATTTACCTTTGTAAGTGACTCCTTGGGGTAAGATTTCTTCAGTCGTAGCAGATCTGCGAGCAAAGTGAATCTTGATACAACTGTCATCGGCTGTTGCCTTCAGGGATTCTAAAAGCAGTCTGTACATGGTGCATACATTTTATTGGTGGGATCATGAACCCTCATCCCCTGCAGTACCATCTTCATGGCTTGCTCAAGCAAAATTAGAGAGAAACTTTCTATTTCAGTGTAAATATCCCTCTTTTAGTTGGAATCATAATGTGGACTGTTGTATTGTAAATAGATTGTAGTGACTGCTGTGTCAGGGAAGGGGGTAGTTCCGTTGCATAGTTTGATGGTCTCCATTGGGACTAGCCGCTGCTGTAAACAGCAGCAATGTGGAGCCTTGCAGAAGAAGCCAGCAGCTGAGACAACCTCAGTTGTTTTTGTTAAGCTAATCTTTGCTCTGCACCATGAAGTCTCCTGAAGGGTGAGTCTGCATGGAGGACTCTGAGAATACCAAAAGGTTGTTGAGATGATTGTTAACAGATGTTGTGTTGTATTCACTTGCAAATCTGTGACTGTGTCCGGTGGTTTTTTGTTTCTTTTTTATGTAAGCATAGAACATTGGTTAATAATGCAGGTTGAATGACATAACGCAAAGGGGTAAATAGTACCATTCATGTCATACTCCATAAAATGCCTTATGTGAGCACATATGGTTCAAGTTAGTGACCTCAAGATTTTCCCAAGCGTGTTTGTGAATTGGGTCAATTCCGCAGATGTCAGAACTCAAAACTTTTCAAAGATATGACATTTGCTTTCAATAGTTGATGTTTAGGGTTTCTCTTGGAGGAAATCCACTCAAAGCTTCCCATGAATATAAAGCCATTAGTGTTTGTGTGAAGGGAGGGGTGCAGGGGGTCCTAAAAGGAGCCACAGTTATTCCTGTCTTCTCTCTGTGGCGTATCCCAGGCATGTCTCGTCATGTCCCCACTGCAAGACTCTGGTCAGGGATCTTTCCTCTTCCTCCCAACAATCAATGACCTCTCAAGTGTAAATGTGGACCAATGACAACTGGTGATTACTGCTTTTTCCAAAATTAAGTAAAAGTACTTTTTAAAACCTGATAGCCAACACCAGACATTTTACAGAGATAAAATCCGGTATCATTATAGATTCATGGGTAAAATGTATTCCTTGCATAAAATCGTTAGCATGCACATATAAACAAAAGAACTGCACTTGTATGACATACTGTATCTGTACTGTACTGTACCTTTGGTAATGCGTTACAATAACTAGACTAGAATGCATTATTCATTTATCGGGAGCTCATCAGGAGTTTATGCTAATGAATTCTAATCATGTTTGCACATGAACATTCATGACTCATTCTTTATGACAAATGTACACATCATTAACTAACCATTCACCATGACTCATAATTTTTCCTTTTGTCTCTTTTTTAGTGCCAGTTATAAAAGATGTCTGCAATGATTAAATCTCATTCTCAAACTCTTAGCTGCAGTTCACTATGATATAATTAGTTGTTGACCATGAGATTTGTTTTGTGCGTCTTTTCCAGATTATCCATGAGCTGCCACTTCCCAAACTACAGTTTCAGGATGCCAAATATAGGGTTTCAAAACCTTCCTCTTAACATCTACATTGTGGTGTTTGGAACAGCAATATTCGTCTTCATCCTCAGCCTCCTCTTCTGCTGCTACTTGATAAGGTACGATCTGGATCTCTTCTTTTGAGTGGTGTTTATTTTGTGGGAGGCAAAGTTAAGACCATACAGAAAAAGTAAATAATCTGAAAACTAATTTATACCAACAATATTCTCAGGGAGACTGATTTTTTTTGCACTGGTAGTACTTTCCCTTTCAGACAGTGAAGCAGAGGATAATTAACACACACACAAAGAGGACCGTCAGAGTCAGAGATTATTTTTCGAAATGGCAAAAAAGAATTGGATAAAACATAATTATTTTCCAATTCAGTTCAAATGTACATAAAGGTATTGTTATCTACTCTTTGATTTACTGAGCTTCGCTTTTATTTTTTTTGGTATTGTATTAAGTAATGAGTTTGTTCATTCAACTAAACCATAAATATGTGTCATTAATGAACTAATTTAACCTTCATTGACAGTAACACAGCAACATTACATTTCTACATCTTCTAGTACAGAGGTCAGGAACCTATGGCTCGGGGGCAAAAAGTGACTCTTTTGATGATTGTGTCTGGCGCTCAGACTCACTTTTGTGGGCATTACTAGTAAGAATGTTAAATGTATCGGATTTTGCTAGTATGAAAAATGTATTAAACAAAATAATACTTTTTTATATTATTATTACACTCTAAATGTTTTCATCTTGTTTTGAAAAATTGCACTTAATGACAGTAAAAAAAATTTATGGCTCCCTCTAAAAAGGTTCCTGACGTCTGTTCTAATGTTATGTCGTAATTAGATATAAAGAACTGTATTGCATTCCCACAATACATTTCAGTTTATTAGAGTATAATGTGTTGTGACATAATGCTGAGTATAATATGGTTTGTCTGTTGGATCTGAGCCGGTCTGATCATTGTGTGAAATGCACATTATCATTTCATATTAATAGTTATACCTGAAGGGAACCGTTTCAACAGCACAGTTTGGAGACACTGCTGGTGATTTGTGACTTGCATGTCCATACTACCACGGCATTTAAAAAGAGTCGCAACCCTTTTCCAGAAGCAGTTTTAAACATATTTAAATGTCAGACCAGGTATAGGTTATTTTTGTCCCTGCAAAACGATAACACCAGATTTTGATGTGGCCCCTTGACTCAGCAACACATGGCCTTCTAAATTTACCAGAGAAAGAGGAGGCGGTTTTTCCCACCAATGCTTGTAAAGATGCATTGCTTTTACTTAGGAATGAGTTATCTGGGTTCAAACGGGATCACACATTGTTTTTCCTATTACTCAAATTCTGATGTAATTTTTCTTCTTATTCTTTCCAAATTAACAAAACTAAACTGTTGGTATGACAAAGAATATATTTATAATGCCATCAACAAACTGAATTCATTTTTAATATAATCACAGTGAAAGACAAGCACTCATTCCTTAGCTCTTCAGATCCTCGCTCTGTTACTGCAACATGATCGGTGTCTTTCGTTTTGAATCAGATCAAAAACTCTACGGCCACTATTTTCTGCACTTTAGAATCCATTTGACAGAACTACAATAAATATACACCAGCCATTAGCAGAAACATCAGTAATAATAATCCAGTCTTTAAAAAGTAGAACATCTACCTACCACAATCAAAATAAATAACAGATTCTCAATAATCCTAATATGATCATCTTAAGGTGTAAACAACATCACGTTTGACTTTTGTGATGTGGTAATTAGCCGTAATAATTAGCCCTGGTCATGTCCCCTGACCTCCTCTTTGACATCGGGAGTCTATGCACCTTTTCCCGCTGGTCTCTGTAGAATCATGTCAGTTTCTCTCCTAGACTGTGCTGCTTGTTTTACAGATCCCTCTCACTCTGCTGCGAGGGGTTAAGGTTACTTTTAATGGAGGTAAATCTTACAACCTACATGTCTTTCCTTCCCTTCCTCTACAAAAGTGTATTTCGCTTCTGCTGTCATCCCTCTCTTTTCTTTAGCACTCCATATTTAGGGTTATTGGGAAATCTCTTGTTGATATTCCAGCAGCACTCTTCTGGGTCCACCAGTCTAATCATTGGGATCTTGGGTTTCATAGCTGTTATGTAACTAACAAGACGTACTATTGCGTTACATAGGAGGCCAAATATAAATGAACTGCTGCTCAATAACCGTAATAAAACTGTATATGTATTGACATCATTTGGCACAAAGAACCAATTTACATTTCACTTTTCAAAGAGTTCTTTGTTTTGTTTTTCTCTCACAGGTTTCAGGCTTAGTCAGGTCTATTTTAAATGTGAATTGAGTTCTAACGTCTTTGGTTTTGTTTTCACAGACTACGGCACCAGGCACATAAAGAACTTTATGCTTACAAACAAGTAAGTGTAGACATTTCTTCTTTTTTTTCTTTGGTGAAGCTTTTTCTTAAAGCTTTTTAAGAATTGAATGTACTGTCTGTATCTATGTATACATTTGTGCGTTTGTATTTATGTATAAGCATCTACTTGTGAATGTGTCCTGTAGTTGTCTATGTATGTGATTCTTATACCACTGTCGCTCAAGACAAATATTTTCATCCAAAGACTTTAAACTAAGGCTCATTTTATGCTACTGTATCTTAATCTCTGGAGATGCATCACTTGGTCACATTCACACTTGTTCCTTGACTTAGACCAGTGTTCCCTTTTTGAGCCATACACCCCCAACTGAATTTGGTAAAAAAAATTGAACTCTAGAACCTTTATTAACAAAGCAAACTCATTCAATGTGTAATATAGAGCAAGTTAAACAAGCATAAAAAAATCATTCTAATCATCTCACATTATTTTCTTTTCACCTGATTTTGACCAAGCAGGTGATATTGGATTATTTCTCACGGCACACCAACGGGCTATGGAACACTGGTTGAAAAACACAGACTCAGACTTAGAGAAAAAAAAAATGCTTCACAGATCTGTTTCAAAACATGTAAACATTAGTGGACACACATTAACTTGTTTGGTTTTACACAAATAAAGTGTTATAGCCCCAAGTGAACAGAAGCTGCCCAGTTAAAGTGAACCAGACCAACAAGTGTGAACGCGCCCGATAATAACGTGTCATTGAATAAATATGGGCTGATGTTTAGCCTTGACAGCCGTGACTCAATGGTTTCCCTCGAATTTAGGCATGATCCGTCTTGTCAAAACAAACATGGCAACTTCCCCCCAAAACGCTGACAATTTTTAAAGTTGCACCTTGTCCTAAACCCATTTTCTTTTCGGCTATAGAATTGATTGAAATTTAATGCGACAATTTGACACGTTTTGGTCTTCCCTGTGGTGAAAAAAGCTGACACGGGTTCAAACAATTTGCATCAGTTTTCCACTGTTGTCCAAGCTCGACACAACTGAAACAAAGCTCATCGATTAGTTTGCAAGGTTTCTGTTTGGGTGCTCTGAGATAGCATAGGCATCTCCATATTCTTATATAACGCCAGCAGTGGACAAACGCAACCCAACGCATTCTTTTTTTCATATTCTGTGTGTGAATTATGTAACATAGACAGTAATGTCATCTGTAATATTATATTGGCAGTGTTGCAATCACGAAAGCTGACTTTGTCTTGTTCTTCCCTATGCATTTTAGGTCATCCAAAAGGAGAAAGTGAAAGAGTTAAACTTGCATGAGGTAAGCCATAATCGTATAACTAATTATCTAGTCTAGTATCTATCTATTATCATAAAAACAAGATGTCTCTTTTCTCTATCATGCTTTTTCACGTTAGATACAGAACGATAAGATTATTCCTGTGTGTAATGTCTTGGGCCCTGCCATAAGCTTTGGACTGATTCTTGGTGTCCCATTTACAAATTAGCATTTTATTTGAGTGAATGTGTAACGTCTCATTTGTATTTGAACTGCTCTGCGTAATGTGGCCTGTAATGATAAGACATTTTGATTGATTATACATCAATACAGAGAAGTATTGAAATTACTTGTATGCCACTGGTGCAATTACAAAACCACTAGAGAGAAATAATTTGCCATAAAACTAACTTCTAGCAAATGTTTTTTCACCTTTGCAAAGACAATCTACAGACTATTGAGACAATTGAAGCATATTGTTTCATCCATTAGTTATTAAATGATAAATCAAAGTGGTAATCATTGCGGCAGACTGGATTTTGGGCTTGTAGTACCAACTCTTAAGCTCTGCCTCACATTTAGTGTTGAATAGCCACACATACTTGTATTACGTTTTTATGATCTTTTGTGCCAGCCAACTTCTACAGGGTTCAAAAGTAACAGGACCTGTTTTTATGTTTTGCATAATGCTGTAATGCTATAGAAAATACCAGACGAAGTATCTCTTTGACACTTGTATGCAAATTAAAGTGACAAAAGCAAGTTTATGTAGGCTGTTCTACTAGAAAGGGATGGAATGTCCCAGTGTTACTTGAATGTGCGCTGTAGGCTGTGGCAGACACATCCAAAGACACAATGAACCACGCTTTGTTTGTTTTAGAGCAGTCAATCATTGCAGACACAAACAGGGGGAATGACCCACATTACAAGACCACCACGTCAAAGCTTCGGTTCGGAAAAGATAACTTACCCAAAGTCATTGTTATCCCCCATAACTCTGCCTTTTCTGAAAGTGAATATTGTTTTTGGTGCAGTTGTTTTGAGGCAAATGTTTAGGGATTTCAGTTGGACAGATGTAAATGGTCAAGGCTCAACTGTATGCCGAGGTAAAAAGTTCAATTCAGAATGGCAAAGACACGCTGTTCTCTCTGCATTTATCAAACGCTTAACAAAGCTGTGTTCTGTTTCACCTTTGTGGATGAAGCAGTAGTGAGTGAGTTACAGCCCTATTGAAAGTAGTGGTAACTGTCTGGGGGGTGAGCTTGGACACCAACATGGACACCCACTAGAATTTATGTTATCTGTTGTGTTGCACTGAACATGTTTTTTGTTTGTTTTTTAGCTATTGGATTATTTACAGGAGGCAGTGGCGTTAGGAAGGCATTAACATCAAGATGGGATTAAATGACCCTGAGATTCCCTTTTGTGCCATTTTCAGATCTGTGCGGTGTGCTTGGAGGAGTTCAAACAGAAAGATGAGCTGGGGATCTGTCCATGCAAACACGCTTTTCATCGAAAGTAAGTGTGTGGGAGAGAAATGGAAATCTGGCAACAGTTTGGCTCTTTCACTAGTTTTCACATACATGTATTTTTAGCCTTTGTTACTTCTTTAGATCAGCTTTTTCAAACAAGAGAGGACCAGTCTCACTCAAATGGATAACATGTCAAAGAAAGCATCTTGTGGTCTGATGTGTACTTTTATAAGACTTTTTTTGCGAAACTGACTTGTTGAAGAATTTATGAAGAAGACAAAAAGTTTTTCATCTCAGCTTTAATGTCAATGCTCATATTCTCCCAAAACACAAGTTATATCTTTTTGCAGACCCGCTACAATGGTCTAACAATCCACAAGGCTTGACATTTATGTGAATCATTACCAACAGGCCGTCTGAGCCCACCCTGGGCCTCCCTCACCCCACGACCACTTCAAATGACTTGTTTATAACAGCGCGACACCTCCCATGGCCTACTTTCTGTCCAGTAAGAGGAGTATGACCAACCGGGCCCCTTCTACACCTCGCCTTTGCATAAACATCAGTGTTGCGCAATCAACTGCATGCCCACCACAGATCTCTTCATGTATTTAGCATTTAAGCACAAAACAAATCTGACTTAATATTTTTCATACTTTAAACTTGACCCTACATTTAACTTCACGAAAGCAAAGCGCATTCCTTTTTTGTTTTTCTCTGTCTGACAAATTAGCGGCCTGCCCCCTGCTGGTCTTGTCTGGATCGCACTGGTCTCTAACTCCTTTTTGTTACTACCACTTTTCTGAAGGGCCCAACAATCTTTTTTTATATATACATTCTATGTGAATTATTTGTTGTATTTTTATAACATGTTGAGGCTCTTATTCACCTTGTTATAATAGGATGTTAAGTTAATATATTTATCTACTATTTACAATGTTGATAATGCTACTTACTGTAGTTCATTTCATTAAAAGATATACATTTATACATTTATAAAATATATAAACATGTAATATTAGTATATTTGTAGTATGAGAATATTCTAGCATAGTGATACTTATACAATAAAATGTTGATCATACATACAGGTTTCCTTTTGATTTTCACACAGGCTCCACTGCAGCAGCACAAACACTGAATTATAAAGTTTGCACCTTAATTTACGGCATTTGCTGCACACAAGGAAACAAAAACAAAACAATGAAACACGACGGACGCTACTTCATCTCAATGACTGACATTTGAGTCGTAGCCCATATGCCTCCAAATACATACATTCATAATATGAGCATGGATTTCCCCTGTGCTGTTGAATGCATCTGCTGGTCTTGTCTCAAAAGAATCTGGTTATGTAGCAGATCAACCACATCAGAGAACCACACCGCTCTGGAAACTTGTAATATTGGAATATGGATCTAAAGTTAATTTATTTCTCTAATTCAACTTACAATGTGAAACTAATATATTTAGTATACTGAATCATTACATGCAAGTGACATATGCCGAGCCTTTGTTTATTATAATTTTGATGATTATGACTTACAGTCCAAATCAAAATATGGACTGTTGTTTTATTTGGGATTTTTAGAGGCAAACATCAACATTAAAACCAATAAAGGCTTGATATACTGTATCTGACTTAGTGTGTAATGAGTACAGTCTGTTAGGTTCACATTGTAAGATGAATTACAGAAGTAACTGTAACTAAATGGACTTTTTCTCAATTTTCTAATTTTCACCTGTACGGTTCATGTGCCACTTCATTCAAACAAAGATATAAAAATAAAAATAAATGTTTTCTATTATTTTGGCCCCCTTGCGCTAATACTTTGTAGCGCCACCTTTTGCTGCAATTACAGCTGCAAGTCGCTTGGGGTATGTCTCTATCAGTTTTGCACATCGAGAGACTGGAATTCTTGCCCATTCTTCCTTGCAAAGTAGCTCGAGCTCAGTGAGGTTGGATGGAGAGCGTTTGTGAACAGCAGTCTTCAGCTCTTTCCACAGATTCTCGATTGGATTCAGGTCTGGACTTTGACTTGGCCATTCTAACACCTGGATACGTCTATTTGTGAACCATTCCATTGTAGATTTGGCTTTATGTTTTGGATCATTGTCCTGTTGGAAGATAAATCTCTGTCCCAGTCTCAGGTCTTTTGCAGACTCCAACAGGTTTTCTTCCAGAATGGTCCTGTATTTGGCTCCATCCATCTTCCCATCAATTTTAGCCATCTTCCCTGTCCCTGCTGAAGAAAAGCAGGCCCAAACCATGATGCTGCCACCACCATGTTTGACAGTGGGGATGGTGTGTTCAGGGTGATGAGCTGTGTTGCTTTCACGCCAAACATATCGTTTTGCATTGTGGCCACAAAGTTCGATTTTGGTTTCATCTGACCGGAGCACCTTCTTCCACATGTTTGGTGTGTCTCCCAGGTGGCTTGTGGCAAACTTTAAACGAGACTTTTTATGGATATCTTTGAGAAATGGCTTTCTTCTTGCCACTCTTCCATAAAGGCCAGATTTGTGCAGTGCACGACTGATTGTTGTCCTATGGACAGACTCTCCCACCTCAGCTGTAGTTATCTGCAGTTCATCCAGAGTGATCATGGGCCTCTTGGCTGCATCTTTGATCAGTCTTCTCCTTGTTTGAGATGAAAGTTTGGAGGGACGGCCGGGTCTTGGTAGATTTGCAGTGGTCTGATACTCCTTCCATTTCAATATAATTGCTTGCACAGTGCTCCTTGAGATGTTTAAAGCTTGGGAAATCTTTTTGTATCCAAATCCGGCTTTAAACTTCTCCACAGCAGTATCTCGGACCTGCCTGGTGTGTTCCTTTGTCTTCATGGTTCTCTCTGCGCTTTAAACAGAACCCTGAGACTATCAAAGAGCAGGTGCATTTATACGGAGACTTGATTACACACAGGTGCATTCTATTTATCATCATCAGTCATTTAGGACAACATTGGATCATTCAAAGATCCTCACTGAACTTCTGGAGTGAGTTTGCTGCTCTGAAATTAAAGGGGCCGAATAATATTGCACGCCCCACTTTTCAGTTTTTTATTTGTTAAAAAAGTTTAGATTATCCAATAAATGTTGTTCCACTTCACGATTGTGTCGCACTTGTTGTTGATTCATGACAAAAAATTAAAATTTTATATCTTTATGTTTGAAGCCTGAAATGTGGCAAAATGCTGAAAGGTTCAATACTTTCGCAAGGCACTGTATACCTATTTTAAAGTGGGAGCACTTGCACAACTAGTGACTAACTAAATAGCTTTTGCCCCACTGTAGCTTGTGGACAGTATGTTTCACCCAAGTCCTTTGGTGGCAGGAGAGAAAAAATAGGTCTGAGGGAAATTTAGTCCTTGATTATGTCAGCTGTAAACTCATACAGTACTATATGTTCTCATGTCTGACAAAAACAAGTTTGATCTACTTTCTTTCACAGTTGGACAAAAAGGTAATCCAGCTTTAAGAACAGAAGTTTAAGCACTGGCTGGTAGTCTTAGGGCATTATATATATATTTTCCCATGTGCAATTATAACACTAAAGTTCGAGACATAGGTCCATGTATATTATATTTATTTATAAGGATTTGTTATCTTGTTTTATTGCACTTTAAATGTCTTTACACATTGGGAAGTGTAAAGTCTAACTTCACTTAAGTATAACCAATAAGAAAGACAGATGGATCCATACGTGTATTGTCAAAACACTAAATTTACACTAGATTCTATACAAAAAGAGTACTGTTAGGAAAGTGCACTGTAATTAATAAACGATAAAAGTTGATACAATTGTAGTCACATTATCGCCAAATTCTTTCCTGCATGTAATTTGCAGTCAAAGATGTTAAAAATGAGTGTCATGTCACTACACCTCTGCTCTAAGAAAGTACTGGGCTGAAACACTCTTCCATCTGTTTGGGCTGACTGTATATTGTATTGTATTTTCGCTTTTATTTTCCTATTTATTTAAAATATGGACCAAGTGAATTTGAGTCTAACAAACAGATTCCCAATAAGCAAAGACGCTGCAAGCAGGTTAGGAAAACTGTATTGAGCGCTTTTTGAAAAATAATAATAGTGAATAACAAGGACACTTTTTTTAACACAAGCTAAAATTTTAAGAATCACCAGATTCACGCTAAAGACAGGTTTGTACCACTGTAGAGAGGGATCAATCTGGCAGTGAGACCTGAAGGGATATGTCAGGTAGGTGTGCCTGCCTGTCGCTCCCACCAGCAAAACACCCAGCTTGCACGACACAAGAGGGAGACAGAGACCAGGGAGTGGCAGACACTGATGTATGTGTTCCAGAGTTCATCTGGCTCTGCTCTGGACACTGATGTCTGGGTCACCTGTGTCTAACCACATTCAATTGAATTCTTCTGTGCTGTGGAGAATGTTAGCAGTGCCAAGAAAACTGTAGAAAGAAGGCTTCATTGCACTTGTATCAGTGGAATAATGTTTGAAATTGGGACGCAGCTGTTTTGGGTAGTTGTTTAAATTTAAAAAACGCATCAACACATACACATTATTTCTGGTGTGCTTTTCAAAACGGTGTAGTCAATAAATTAACTATCTCTGCTGTGTTATATATTATATAAATCATTCATGTTGCACATTGCACCCATATCAGAAAATGTGACAGAACTAGCTATGGCCAACCGTAATAACACTGCTATTATCAACGTGAGGAATACACAAGTTGGAATTAAAAAAGTTAAGACAAAATAGGCATAGATTCGTTTAATGTACAGAAATATTGTTTAGATGTGACCATGACTTTGCACAGGCGCTGATGTCTCCCAAAACCATTCCACCTACTGCTCACACAAGAGCCAAAAGTGGAAACGAGATTTCCTCGTCTTGTCTGAGTTAAGTTTGAACAAGATTTCAATCAAATTAAAATAATGTTCTGGACAAAATACTTCATGAATAGAATGACATATTTTCACTTTTGCTTGACCTAAATCACTCATGTTTAAAACTCTAACTGAACTCATTGGTGTTTTCCTATTCTGTATCTTGCCACTGCGCAGTGAAACATGTGGTGACCGATTAGAGCTGCACAGTCCAAAACTTGTACTTTACATGCATAAAACTCTGCTTCAATCTAAAACACGTGTTGAACTATTGATGAATAGTTTGGTGTGCCCAGGTCCTGATGATTTTTATGATTATAATAGAAGACATGCCATTTTTCCAAAACAAGTCCTTAAGTCAAAACAGAACCAGGAGGAGCTTCTTTAATACTCTTTTGTTTCTTGGATTTTGTATTCTGGTTAGAGTTCTTTGTCCGTTGTAGCAGGGCTAGAGTGTCTCGCTTCTCAATCTTTCTTAACTGCTTCTTTTTCATTCTCTTGATTTTGGTTGTGTTTCGAATCTGGGGAAACAATATATGTTTTAATACAATCGTAATGTAGTGATTGCAAGGCAATCACTAATGGGGTAAAAATGTCCCATGTACATACCACTTGAACGATCTCAGACTTGCGTTCATTCTCGGCTCGTCGTTTCAGGTTCTCTTCTCTCCTCTTTCGCTTTTCCTTTTGCCCACAAAAAAAAAAATCAGATGATCGTCATCAAATGATACAATGTTTATTCACACTTTATTGAACAGACACATACCTCTTTCTGTCTGGATTTGTCGTCCTTCAGTTGCTGAGAATAAGCTTTGACCAGCTCCTTCTCACGTTTAGCCTGCATCTTCTTCTCCCAGGAACTGCACAGCGGCTTATCTCTGACAACTGCCGAAAACCTGGGAGTACACAGTAGAGATTTCATGATTTAAACACGTATGGCACCTGCATATGGTCCTACAAAAGGAGGTCAAAGTCAAGAGGAGAGGCTGCATACAAACCACCATTACACCGATGTATTTAGACGATCAATAGTAGCTTTCATCTTTTCAAATCTGATGAGATTATACGTAGTATAATTTTGCTTAATAAGCCATTTTAAGAGCTTTATCGGCATCAACCTAAGCCTCTAACATGAGTTTCGTATATTCAGTGATGTTATTCTTAAAAACATATAAATGTAAGGAAAATGCCATTGTGTATTACATTGGCAACGACTGAGTCACCCTCTGAAATACTTGGAACATATACATTTGTCATTTATTGACCTCTTTATTTGTCCATTACAACACCCCCGAAGCACAGGTACACCTGGATTTGACTCAAACTCTTGAGTATGAGATAGATTATAGTAAAGATTTTCTCATCTTATTTAACTTCTGAATTAACCTGGCCTAGTTGTAACTCCAAAGACACACATCAAAAATGGCTTAATTATAGCCCCTACATTGTTTACCCCATATTTGTTTACTTCTGCAAAAGATCCGCACTTTTACAGGCGCACTTCTGCTCGGTCCCTTTACCTCAGCTTGTTCCGCTCCTTCCATACTCGCCCAGATTTTGGTTTCCCCAATGGGATCACGGGAGTCGGTTTTACGGTCGGGGTTAACCGGGGCTTCTTGTTTGGGGCAGTTCCCCTGTCTGCGTTGGCCGGTGGCATTTCTTTGGCCTTGCAGGTTTCCTCCTCCTGTCTCTCTTGGTCATTTTGAATTGCGTTAGTATTAGATTTCTCAGACTCTTCTGCAACACCGTCACAGACACTCTCCTCTTGTATCGCGTTGTCTTCCACGGTCGATAGTTCCTGGAGCACTGACCGCCTCGTCCTGCGGCTGGGTGTTTTAACTACGGACGCAGACTCCTGGAAGGCGACAGGGGGTCTCACTCTTCGGCCGCTGCGGGTACGCCTGGTCTCCTCCTCTGGGGTCCCTTCAGCTGGGGTTTCAGGTGGAAGGGAGTCGTCTGCTTTACTCCGCTTAGACATGTTCAATGTGTTTAATATGTTCAACAAAACACAGCTGCTGCACTTCTCCACAGACCTCCTGGCCCCACGTGCGATCACTGTGGTCACGTGTCACAGAATACTTCCGCATTCGAGTGGTAAACAACAGTACTGCATACATCGATGAGTGCTGCCCCCTGCTGGTCCGGGGCAGGAGCGTGGGCCAAACAAAACAAAAAACAAATGATACATCTTAATAATATTACAGTATATGATATAATAATACAGTCTATGATCTTAATCCTTCGGCTAATTAATTCAATTTATACGTCCAATGACATGACCATTAGAGTACAAGTTAAGCAATTTCAATTCGGTGAGAGGAAAGGAACACAATAACACTTGTCCATGTCCATACCATAGACTTTAAATACTGGCATCTGCAACAGGCCAGCTCCAGCTTGGTTTGAGGTCCAAAGTTTCTACAATAAACATTTATATCCACATAAATACACAAACATATACATGTATATCTATCTACTAGAAAGCTAAGTTCAAAACCTGTCATGAGTTGCATTAATATTTACAGTCTATGGTTGCATTGCAAAAAATAAATAAAAAATACACGCATGCTGCCATCTTGTGGTACTATGTAAGTGCAAAGTTTGCCACGTGACCAAACACTTGGACCACGTGACACACTCATTCAAAACAACCTCGTTTAAGGAAGTAGGGTTTCTGTTCTCTGCTTGTCATGCACATAACTATACGAGTGCTTTTTTCTTCTGTAGGCTGTTCTTTAGTGTGGTCACTATGTCCATGTTGACAGTAGGACCCCTGCTGCTGTCGATGCTGGCTGGAGCGTCAGTGAGTACTTTACTTTCCCTTCATTACAACGTTATTCATTGTTAAACCCGCCTAGAACTCATAATAATGTTAATGATGTGAATTCCTGCTGTATAGCAGGAATACTATACTGCTGTACTGTACAGTCTGATATAAAAATTCTATTTATCCAATGCAGTTCTTAGCAATTCTTAGCGTGGGTTGGCTTGCCTTTCCACAGACTTGAACTATAACCTTACCCTGTTTAGTGCTAAATGATTTTCTGTTTACCGAACATCCTGTACAGAAAGACTACATAGAAACCAGTTTGACAAAATGCAAAGAATGACTATCTCTCAACACTGTGCCAGGTGAGTCACAGAGACTTAAAGTGATTATTACACAGAGTCACCTGATGTCAGGTGTTTCTTTCATCAAGATAGAGCTGTTGAACATGGTGTACTATCTAAATACAATCATAGCAATTTGATAAATAATCAATGACTGTATCATTGATGAATATACCCTGTGACCCTGCAGTTTGGAGCCCCAAGAACTTTCTCTGTGGATTATCAAAAGGACTGTTTTCGAAAAGATGGCCAGCCCTTTCGCTATATATCAGGAAGCATCCATTACAGCAGAATTCCCAGAGCTTACTGGAAGGACCGGCTGCTCAAGATGTATATGGGTGGTCTGAATGCAATCCAAACGTATGTTCACCCACTCACCCATTGCATGTGACTTTATAGTGTAGGAATAAAGGAACTTATTTTTCCAGAACACAAAATTTATACACAAGGAAAAAAAATCCTGTGGCAATTGCTTCTTGCAGTAAGGACACACTCTCTGATCACATTTTAAAGCACACATACTGTAATAACATTTTGATGATTTGAATATAAGTTTATGAGGCAATAAGTTAAAACGGAGGTACCTACATTTCCTTCTTAAATATTAATTATTTTTTGTCTCAACAGAAAGAAAGTATTGTAAAAGTAAAATGTTTCAGATCACAACAAAAAATGGCTTGATTCTATGATTTGATTGATCAATAAAGGTATATCCCTTGGAACTTTCACGAAGAATCTCCCGGTCAGTACAACTTTAGTGGCGAAAGAGACCTGCTGCACTTTCTCCAGCTGGCACAGGACGTCGGCTTGCTGGTCATTCTCCGGCCTGGACCCTACATATGCGCAGAGTGGGAAATGGTGTGTTATCCTTTAGTAGCTCATGTTTTTTAAATATTTATACTCATCTGGATTTACCCATGTCATTATTGCAAAAAGTATATAGGTTTTTACTCAACTTTCCGTTCATTTTTAGGGTGGGCTTCCTGCTTGGCTTCTTAACAAAAAGAATATCGTATTGCGGTCATCAGATAAAGGTGAGACCCGATTTGCAGCCAACTCAAAACAACTTAATTTGTAACTTTATAAAAATTTACCCAATGTTGCACGGTAGTCTGTATGTGACACATTATATTAGATTATGTTGTGTATTTTTCAGATTACTTATCAGCTGTAGATACATGGATGGGGAAAATACTGCCAATGATAAAACCCTTTCTTTATCAAAACGGGGGTCCCATCATCACTGTTCAGGTGAGCTTTGTTTGGACTGCAGTAGATAAGTATCACAATACTGTATTTGCCGGACTATAAGTGTTTTTAGTTTTTTATAACTCGACCACTTTTTTTGTGATAGAGTATTATACAGGGTGCAGGAAAATAACTTAATAAGACACATTTCATCAGGAAGGCAGTTTATGTTTATGTGAACAGCAGCGAGAGACGACAGTCAAGGGCTGTTGTCAGAACAGGTTTTGGACGTATTAATGTGACTCCATCCAGGTTTAGTAACTGCAGGTTAATTACCCAAATAGATGATAATGGGTCCCGACATGGAAGCAGTACATTTTTGCCTCCTCAAAGTTCATGGTATTTTTTACCATGCTTTGATCATAAATCAACAGTGTGTTAAACACCTTGTCACGGTCCGCTTTGTTTTCTGTTACATTACAACATTAAAGCCTGTGGTTTATATCAAAAGGCTGCCTATACACGGACAAAATGTACTGCATTTTAAAATGTAGTTGGTGCGGTTCATATACAGGTGTGCTTATTAGTCCTGCAAGTACAGTATCATCTATAGCAGTGCATTGTCTCTTCAAATAAAGACTAAACTAAATGTTGTCAAAAAGGTGGAAAATGAGTATGGCAGTTACTTCGCCTGTGACTATAACTACTTGAGACACCTGACTGAAGTTTTCCGGTCACACTTGGGGGACGACGTGGTGCTCTTCACCACTGATGGAGGCAATGTGGGGTACCTCAAGTGTGGAACAATACAAGGACTCTATGCTACTGTGGACTTTGGACCAGGTCAGTCTGTGATCCTTCTTGTGAATCAGCAAGCTTTCCATACAACTTGTATTTTCTGAATTTGTAAGTTATAAATGGCAAGACAAGAGGATTGTGTTGTTTCCATAGGAGCAAATATAACTGCTGCTTTTGGAGCACAACGGAAAGCGGAACCTAAAGGACCTTTGGTGATCATTTTTATTCCCTTTTCAATGTCCACGTTTTGTTTTGAAAAACAAATGAATAAACATGTGTGCATTATGCAGACATATTAATATATATGGTACAGACAGAGGCTTGTCAACCACTTGTTCAATAACTGATTGAAAAAATAATGTATTTTGGGCCTCAATATGTATCATCGCAAAATTCAATTGTTATTTTGCCCTAAAATCATAACAGCAGAGAAGCAAACCGTTCAAAAATAGAAAATGCAATAAGAACAAAAATATAGGTGTCATTGGTTCTTTGGGATCAGGAGGACCAATGGCAATAGCAGTTAATAAAATTGCATAAATGTCCTGGATCATCCCTGTCCTTGGACTCTCCTGTATCTTCATGCTATTATTCAATAATAATAATAATAGTAATAATACCACTAGCACACGCACTAACTGGTTTGTCTGATTGTAGGTAAACTCAGAGTTTTACACCGGCTGGCTCGATCATTGGGGCTCTCATCATTCTGTTGTGTCAATTGACAGAGTGACCAAGACTCTGAACGAGATCCTTCTCACTGGCGCAAATGTCAATCTGTAGGTTCTATTATTCTCATATTGGCTGTTTGTAATATTTAAGTATACAATCACTTTATGACTTTTGCAGGTATATGTTCATTGGAGGATCAAATTTTGGATACTGGAATGGTATTATCTAGTAACATCATGTCTAATACCCTAACATTTCGAATGTATTAACTTTTAATGATTTTCCTAGGTGCTAATGAACCATACCTACCTCAGCCCACAAGTTATGACTATGATGCTCCTCTGACAGAAGCAGGAGACCTCACTGAGAAGTATTTTGCTATCCAAAATGTCATCAAAATGGTATGCAATTATAGTATAGTCAGGCAACATGCAATTGGTTAGTCTGTTTCCCCGGCATAGCTTTTCAGATTTCACCTTATGTTTCAACAGTTTCACAAACTACCAGAGGGTCCAATTCCACCGACAACTCCAAAGTTTGCCTATGGGTCTGTACGGTTACAAAAGGTAAACTCCAATAGTTAAATAACAGAGCTTCACTTCTTGAATATAATAATAATTTGCAGTTGTTTTAGTTGGAGACGGTGTCAGCGGCCCTTGAGAAACTTTCTTACTCCGGCCCTGTCAAAAGCATTTATCCCCTGACTTTCACAGAGCTAAATCAGGTGACATTTTTACTGCTGATGAAGGACTTCTTATTTTATATATTTTTGTTCTCAATATAATTTATATTTCCCATGTTTGCAGGCTTTTGGTTATGTACTTTACAGGACCACACTTCCTGTGAACTGCACCAAGCCAACGCCTCTGTCCTCCCCTTTAAATGGGGTTCACGACCGGGCCTATGTATCAGTGGATGGAGTGAGTCTGATTATTATTATTATTTTTTCATGTATCATCCTCATGTTTCCTTATGCATTATACCGATTGTCATATTTCTGTATCTTCTCGAAGGTGGCTGCTGGGATTCTTCAGAGATTCAAAGCAATAAGCATCAATATTACTGGAAATGCTGGTAGTCAAGTGGACATACTGGTCGAAAACATGGGCCGAATTAACTATGGAAAAGGGATCAACGACTTCAAGGTTCTCCTTCTCCTACCCATACAATGATTCTGATATGTTTTATTTCCTTTAAAATAAAAACGTAACATACATAAATGAATTCTCTTTTTAGGGTTTAGTGTCAAATATGACTCTGGGAACAGATGTGCTGAGTGGCTGGACCATGTACAGTCTCAGCATCGATCAGGCGGTCAGCCAGGGACTCCTGGGGAAGTCTGTGTCGGCAGATCCCCCTCAGCCCCCAGCCATGTCCCTGCCAACCTTCTATGGAGGCAGCTTTGTTATTCCAGATGACATCCCAGACCTTCCCCAAGACACTTATATCAAACTTCCCAACTGGACAAAGGCAAGTCACCCAAAGCATCCTGCATGTTTAAAAATATTACCAAATTACCACACATTAAAGAAAATATTTATTAAGTTCTTACCTATAGTACAACCATTTTTCCTAGTAGAAACAAAAGATTAACTGAAAAAATGTTTAAAATATAAATGCTTGAATCAAATGGCTCTAGTCAGACCTGACTCTAGTTATACACATTTTGACCGTTAATGTGAAGTATGAAAATGATGACATGCTTTCTTATTCGTAATGACAAATAATGCTTCTGATAGACAACAAGAAAATAGGTATTTGCTTTTGGTATAAGAATAATGGACGTCTTTTTGTTTTCAGGGTCAGATTTGGATTAATAGCTTTAACCTTGGTCGATACTGGCCAGCCCAAGGACCTCAGGTGACTCTGTTTGTGCCTGGCAGCATCCTGAGCACCGCTGCTCCCAACAACATCACTGTGTTGGAGCTGGAGGCCGCCCCATGTGGTAGTGGGCCCTGCACTGTGGAGTTCACTGACACACCCATGTTAGGCGCCTCCCTCCCACACAACCTCCTGCCAACCAGCAGAATCATTTTATAGGAGTAATTCAAAAAATTTTATCACATTTTATGACTATGTTCTCATTTAATCAGAGATACTGTTGGGTGAATGAGGTAACCTGAGCCACTTTCTGATATAAAAATATTATTTCAGGATGTTTTTTGTATCAAATGAGATTATCAGAATTCAAGGCCACATATCAGAAAAAAATGGCCCTGTGGTTCATTTTGCCTCAGCTCTGGGGTAAACTGACCAAAGGTTTTAAAATGTAAAACTGAGAATATTGGCACTGTTTTAGCGATTCCCATTCCATTCAATTTTTTTCCACTTCATCTGTTGCTGGGTCGCACGGGCAGCAGTCTAAGCAGAGATACCCAGACTTCCCTCCAGCTCACCCAAGGCATTCCCAGGCCAGTTGAGAGACGTAGTGCGTTGTAAAAAGTGACTCCTAGACAAGAGCTGAGAAGGGGGGTATGGCGTCGGCGTCTTCGGGCAAATCTGTTCGAAAAAATGCGGCAAAATCTAATCCGATTGACAATCGATCTGAGTCGGCGAGTATGCACGACTGTTCTGTGAGTGGGTCTGCGGTGAACAGTTGGGACGATGTAATTGATTTAGACCAAGAAGAGGAGGAAGTGGAAATGTCGGAGCTAGTGAGTGAGCAGAGAAGTGACAAGCGTAAAAGAATGGGTAGCTGTGGCAGTGGAAATGATCTGTCTACACCTAGAGAGAAAACAAAGATGTTTGCCATCGTGAGGTTTAATGAAAAAACTAAGTCCGTTTATTTTGACAGCTGAACTGAACAGTAAAGTGGGAGATATAGTCTCTGCTAAAGTCTTGGCAGATGGAAATCTTCTTGTGCAATGTGCAAATGAAGTGCAGCTAAACAAAGCACTAAATTTGAAACAATTTGGAAAGTTTAAAGTGGAAAATGTTGGGAGGGTGGGTGCACGGGAAGGAGGTGGGTGCAAGGGTGTTATCTCTGGGGTTCCCATCAGTGTGAAAATGGATGATCTAAAAAGTAAGATTAAAGGGGGGAAAGTGATTTCTGTGGATAGGATGAAAACAACAAAAGGAGGAACAAAGACGGATAGCGAAAGCATACTGATCCATTTTGAGGAAGAGAGTGTGCCAAGAAAAGTGTTTTTAGGATTCATGTGTTACCCGGTGAGAGCATATGTTCCAAAACCAATGAGGTGCTTTCACTGTCAAAGATTTGGTCACTTTGCAAAGAATTGCACACAAAAGAGGAGGTGTGCGCGGTGTGGTGGAGACCATGAATATGGGCAGTGCGGAGACGGTGTTCAACCGAAGTGCTGCAGTTGTGGGGGGAGTCACAGTGTGGCATATGCTGGATGTGAGAGAATGAAACAAGAAAATAATATTCAAAAAATGAGAGTGGAGAAGAAGATATCGTATGCTGAAGCAGTGAGAGTAACGAAGAAAAGTGTGCAGATTGAACCGGCACAGGATGACGCAATAGGCTGCCACCGGGCACGCAGGGCCTACCACTACACACAGACGCATGGCACTTGGGATCAGGTTGGCAGTATTCATTAGTCCTCATTGTTTGTTGTACAGTCTGACAGCAGCAGGAAGGAAAGACCTGCGGAACCTCTCCTTCACACATCGAGGATGAATAAGTCTGTCACTGAAGCTGCTCTCCAGAGCAGAGAGAGTGTCCTGCAGGGGGTGACAGTCATGGTCCAGCATAGATGTTAGTTTGTCCAGGACCCTCCTGTCCCCCACCTGCTGCACTGTGTCCAGGGAACAGCCCAGGACTGAGCTGGACTTCCTGATGACCTTGTCCAGCTTCTTCCTGTCCCTCTCTGTGATGCTGCTGCTCCAGCAGACCACACCGTACAAGAGGCTGATGCCACCACAGAGTCATAGAAGGTCTTTAGAATGTAATGAATAGAGCATACAGCTATCTGGGTTTAAAAGAAAGAAATCAAAGTAAAAAGCTATCAGAAAAATAAATTGTCATGTAAAAGTATACTAATTTATCTGAAAATTATACACACATAACAAAAACATGTTTAGTGCAACACAAAGACAAATGGAGAAACAGATGTTTTATATAATTTATTTAATTCAGATAAAGTCAAGGGAAATATAAAATATAGTTGGGCTGCGACTTGATTGGCTGAGTAAAGGTGGTCATTTGTTTTCCACGGTCTGAGCAAGCGGATGTACAGATGTGACAGAACCAGGAGCTAGTTAGATGGATTTTATGACATAATTTTGGTTTGATATGTTTATTTTGGTTTTATATGTGTGCAGCAACCAAGAATAACTGAAAAGTTATTCCTATACAGATAAAAGTTTAATATGACTCACTGGACATTATTGTGGGCAATGGAGGTTAAAAGCTGAGATTAATAAATTAATATATTTTATCTTAGTGGAATAAATATTAGCCAGTATTTGTGACAGGAGGTGATGCAATTACCATTACAGTTTATCAGTTTACCAATAACAATGATGCAAGAGATCATCAATTACCAAGTCTCTCCACAAGAGGGAACCAGAGCGTTCACACGTTTAGAAAATCCTGTTGGCATAAGATTTGTGAAGGTTTATCTTCTAATCCAATAAACAGCTGAAGAAAAGAAACATCTTAAAACAATAAATAAATAATAACTAATCCACAGACGTACTCACCTGTCTTCTTCTTTTTCTGATTGACTTTTATGGCGGTTGGCATTCCCAATTACGGTACATTACCGCCACCTACTGCATCCAATTAGACCAGGATGTCGGTAGTACTCACCTGTCGATAGATTGACGTTAAAAAAAAAAAAAAAAACAGGTGATGTGAATTCTCACTGATCTCGCTGCTGATTGGTTGAGAGCACGCGGGCGTTCAGGTGGGCTCCATACTTAAACGTGGCGGAGGGTCCTCAGCCGCACGAGTCCGACCAAGTCCGACACAACAGACGGGATGTTGCGACGTGCTAATTCTGTCACCGTTTACGGTGTCGCTGCAGTGTGCTGCCTGCTTGCGTTTATTCTAATGCAAACAGAAGCTGCAACCTTAAGAAAAATAGAAAGAAATGATGGACAGAAAGAGACCAGTACAAGTCGATTCCAAGAAGGATTCATCGTGTTCGGAAAAGGCCATAATACTTCAGGTTTCACCGGCTCTTACCAGGCGGACTCTCCAGGTATTTTAAAAAAAAGTTTGTAAAATGTGTCTTTCCCAAAGAAAAGTACTATGCATTGTAGGGGTTTCAAATTTCTTCCACTGCTTTGTCCCCCAAAAAATACTTGAGCTAGGACCACTGTAAATGCAATTTTTTTTTTTTTTTAAAGTTCTATTATACCAAAGTTCTAAGGCACTTCAGTCTCTAAAGGTTGCAGTCAAACTTTTATAGACAAATTGAATTAGCTTATCTATAAATGTGAATTATTTTTGTGCTACCTATTTTGATCTCACGTGTTTTTCATACAATCTTTTTTTTTTCCCAAAGGGAGTGTTCTTGATTCCCTAAAAGCTGCCCAATGGAACAATATGGGTTCTTCGTTACTGTGTGGTCCAAATTTTATGAAATTTGGAGTTACTGGATCACAAGTGAATAACTTTGACTTTGGCCAAAGTAGGTGTGCAAGACACTCAATGAGTTCTTTCAAGTCTCGTTAACACTATTTCTGTTCCAGACTCTGCTGCCTACCATGTCGAGAAGCACCCTCATGGCACGTCTCTGTATATTCCCTTTAAGGGGTGCTATATTGTCTATGAGGTAAATTGCCCTTTTTTTTTTTTTTTTTTTTAAGTAGTTCATACTTAAACTTATGCCTTTTCTCTAGGATGGAACCTATAATTACCCAATTAAATGGCACGGAATCCCACTAACGCTGAAGTGCCCAAAACCTCAAGTTACTACAACTCCAGCTCCGCAGTTCCCCTGGCTCTCACCCACAACTGCAGCACCAGTCACTCTCCCTCACTTCCCCCCGTTCTTTCCTCCCGGTTGGAATCCACTCCCAACACCAACTCCGTCAGCGACTATTCCACTGCATTATCAAACTTATTTCCAGTACATTCACTATTTGCTTCACCTTCTCGATGACCACTCCACGTCTGCGCCGCCACAAGCTCTTTATTTGCAACATGTCATTAATCATCTTTTGCAGCTTCTTTATGACCACTTGAGCTCTCCTACACCTTCACCACAATTTATTACTTATTTGCAACATGTAATTAATCACCTACTTCAACTTCTCTATGCTTTATACTACCCCACTACTCCTGCTCCACAAGTCCCAGACCTGCAGTTGCCACACATCCTCCCATGGTACTTTCATCTCCAACATGCGACTACAAGTGCTCCTCAAAACCCGCTGGCAGCTCTTTTTGGTAAACTTTCCCTGAATGACCCATCCACTTCAACAGGAAAACTTGAGCAGCTGAATCCCAGCCTGCTGCTTTCGATGCTCAATGCTCAAAGTGCACAAGTGCCGCCACATCCTTATAATCTCAATGCCCACCTGCCATGGAATCCTCCAGTGCAGACTGGACCTAATCTTCCTCTGTGGTATCCCAAGGGCTCAGGACAAGTGCATGTTTTGCCCCAACATCAGGGAACTTTGCAGAAGTAATGAATGATCCTTTGCACATGTTGCTTTTATGATATTCTAACAATTATCTATTCTCTTCTAGGTCTTGACTATAATGTGGGACAGTTTGGAATGCAGTAATGAGAGCATCTTTTTGAGCTGAAGCCATGACTTAATAAATTCATTCTGGTTCATATGACATGTTGTCTTTGTTCTTGGCAGTAAGGGTTCTGAAGTGCCTAAATGAATGTCTGTGCTTGCAGGACTTACTATTTCAGTTCATGCATTCTGTAACTTCATGGGCTTTTTAGAGAATTTCCCAAATGTAAATCGAAAGACTTTAGTGTACTTCAAAGACCATGACCATTTATCTCAAATGTAAAACTACTTACTCAGGAATTTAAATTTGATTCAGTAAGAATGTTAAAGACTTACACTCTAGCATATTTCCAGTTTTCAACTGTATCGTATGGATGGCATTCCTGATGAGTTCTGATTGGCTGAATGTATTTTTCCGGAAGTTGACAGTTTCCTGCTAACTCAGCGCCGCCAAAAATGAAAGCTTATAACTTGGGTCAACCATAGGTTCACTTTGTACGATAACTTGTGCTGACACGCATCCTGTGAGTATATGTAGAATACTTTTGTATAAATATATGCTAAGCTACTTTACTTTCCATGCATTTCCCGAGACGTACACATGCTAGCTCTGGTTTGGGTTTATTTTATAAAAATATCACTGGACTTCCCAAGTGATGGTCCGAAGGACATGACTGTTTATGTAAACTGGATACAGCCTGAAACTCTTCAGGGTCATTTATTCAATGAAAGTTTCTGCAGTTTTTTTGTTAATTGTACATTTGAAACATTGGTGAATATTGTACTCAAAGCGTAATATGTCTTTGTTTTTAAAGGTAAAAGGCATCACCATGAGCAAGTGGGAAGATCGCTTGAAAAAGGTTGAGCACCTGGCACACTGTTTCCAGAAGAACCCGCTGACCACAGGCTACAAACCCCGGCTGTGGCCCTGTCAGCCTGCGTCTGTGTGGAGGCTGTTCCCCCGGCAGAGTTTGGCTGTTCACTTTTCAAAGACCTGTAAAGAGGTGAGTCAAGCCCAGCATGAGCTCTGTCAGGGTGGGAATTGGCAAACATTTGACTATTCGGTATTATTTTGATTCTTCCATCTAAAGTGTCTTATCTCACATTAACATATTGCTTTACAGCAAGTATTGCCATTCATGACCCTCATAATATTCAAATACATTTGAGAAAAATAAGACTCAAATATCACATTTATTTTAGTCTGCACATTAAATGAAGTGCAAAAACTCGGGACACAGGACCTTATTACAGGATAAGACATTCTCTGAAAAGATGACCCCCTCACATGAATGGTGAACTCCAAGTACATAACTTAAATTATTCAAATACTATAGTAACTAGAAGCGGACACATTAGACCTCAGATTTAAAGAACCAAAATAAAATCAAAAAACACAAGTGAAACAGATAATTATTCACTATCACAATCCTTTGCTGCTCTACATCTATTTTAATCACTCTCCCACTTGAGTGCTCGTGTGAATGTATTTTCAGAAGGCAGTGCATGTCTTCGCACTAGAAAAGGAGACCACTTCACATGGACAGAGGATGTACCTGGTAACCAGTTACAGTGAGCTCTGGCATTACTACAGGTGAGAAGGAACTGGTGTTCTTGAAGTATGATTGAGATTCATTTTTCATTATCGCTGTGTTTATGATTGTCAGAACCTACCCACAGTCACTCATGCACTGCTATGAAGTGATACCAGAAGGAGCAGTTTGCAAACTTTATTTTGACCTGGAGTTTCATAAGCCTTCGAACATTGGGGCTGATGGGAAAAGTATGGTGTCTTTGCTCATTCAGGTATTGCATGAAAAATACTATTGATGTATTTGTTTTATCATTTCGTCTTTTCTTATGCTCTAACATTTTGTTGACAGTACATCTGTGAGAAACTAAAGGAGTTCTATGGGATTGATTGTTCTGCAAATAATGTCCTTAATCTGGACTCGAGCACTGAGGATAAGTTCAGTCGTCACCTTATCTTCAATCTTCCAAATGCAGCTTTCAAGGACAACATCCATGTTGGTATGTTTTTTTAATAACATTGTATCTTTTCCGTTTACAAATTTAGTGTTCACTTTTATTGCAGGTAGATTTGTTCATATAATTCTGGAAAGTATTCAAAACCAAGGAGCCAAAGCTTTGCCAAATAACAGGTCAGACAATTTTATTTGAGAAAATTGTCTAATCTTGAAATATATATATATATTTAAATAAAATTGTATTTAAAGCTTACATGAATATGATGAAATACTGACTATTGATAAACCACCAATAAAAAAGCACAAAGTTGAAGATCAAAACCTCAGTTTCCTTTTGGTTAAAAACAAGGATGGGAAGGATTGTCTTTTTGTCGATCTTGGTAAGTTTTCAACTCCAAACATCATAATTTTCAATGACCTTATTCTGATAATGTCATTTAATGTATTTCAAAGGCGTATACACAAAGAACAGAAATTTCCGCCTTTACAGGTCATCAAAGGTGGGCAAACACGCTGCGTTCACTGTGGCAGATGACAATACATTCTCACATAAATCTGAGAAGGGCCTTTCTGTGGAAGAGGGAATATTCCTGGCTTCTTTAGTCTGCAATATCAGGTATTTGTGCTTGTGGAAAACAGAACAGTGTGTACTTTTAGTTACTGGTTTTGTAATGTTTCTACTATTTTAATATCTTCTGCCGGTTTCTTGCCCTGTATGTAGAATTGCACACAGCCTGCTGCTGACAAAATTAAGTGCTGTACCAAATTAAAGACTTGGGGAGAATCGGCCTTATTGTTACTCAGCATGAGAACCAACATGAACTAGAAAAGCCTGCAGAGCTTAGATCACACATTACTTTTTGAGTTCACCCTGGTATTTACATTAACTCTGGCGCAGGTAATGTTTTCTATCAAAGAATACTTTTGCAATATCAAAAATGGGGATATTTGCTTTGGAAAAGTGTAAAACATCTGCAGCGCTAAGCTAGTTTGTTTTGTGTTTATATACAGTGGGGAGAACAAGTATTTGATACACTGCTGATTTTTCAGGTTTATCCACTTGCAAAGCAAGTAGAAGTCTGTAATTTCTATCATAGGTACTCTTCAACTGTGAGTGATGGAATATAAAACAAAAAATCAGAAAATCACAGTAGATGATTTGTAAATAATTAATTTGTATTTTATTGCATGAAATAAGTATTTGATCATCTACCAACCAGTAAGAAGTTTGGCTCTCACAGACCTGCTACTTCTTCTTTAAGAAGCCCCCCTGTTCTCCACTCATTACCTGTATTAATGGCCCCTGTTTGAACTTGTTATCTGTATAAAAGACACCTGTTCACACTCTCAATAAGTCAGACTCAAAATCTACTATGGCCAAGACCAGAGAGCTGTGTAAGGAGGTCAGAGATAAAATTGTAGACCTGCACAATGCTGGAATGGGCTACAGGACAATAGGCAAGGAGCTTGGTGAGAAGGCAACAACTGGAAGAAATTTAAGACAACGGTCAATCTCCCTCGGTCTGGGGCGCCATGCAAGATCTCACCTCGTGGGGCATCAATGATCATGAGAAAGGTGAGAAATGAGCCCAGAACTACACGGCAGTACCTGGTCAATGACCTGAATAGAGCTGGGACCACAGTCTCAAAGAAAACCATCAGTAACGCACTACGCCGTCAAGGATTAAAATCCTGCAGTGCACGCAAGGTGCCCTTGCTCAAGCCAAAGCATGTTCAGGCCTGTCTGAAATTTGCCAATGACCATCTGGATGATCCAGAGGAGGAATGGGAGAAGGTCATGTGGTCTGATGAGACAAAAATAGAACTTTTTGGTTTAAACTCCACTTGTTGTGTTTGGAGGAAGAAGAATGATGAGTACAACCCCTAGAACACCATCCCAACCGTGAAGCATGGCGGTGGAAACATCATTCTTTGGGGATGCTTTTCTGCAAAGGGGACAGGGCGACTGCACCGTGTTGAGGGAAGGATGGATGGGGCCATGTATCGTGAGATCTTGGCCAACAACCTCCTCCCCTCAGTAAGAGCACTGAAGATGGGTCGTGGCTGGGTCTTCCAGCATGACAACGACCAAAACACACAGCCAGGGCAACCAAGGAGTGGCTCCGTAAGAAACATCTCAAGGTCCTGGAGTGGCCTAGCCAGTCTCCAGACCTGAATCCAATTGAAAATCTTTGGAGGGAGCTTAAAGTCCGTGTGGCCCAGCGACAGCCTCGAAACCTGAGGGCTCTAGAGGAGATCTGTTTGGAGGAGTGGGCCAAAATCCCTACTGCAGTGTGTGCAAACCTGGTCAAGAACACAGGAAACGTCTGATCTCTGTAATTGCAAACAAAGGTTTCAGCACCAAATATTAAGTTCTGTTTTTCCGATGTATCAAATACTTATTTCATGCAATAAAATGGAAATTAATTATAAAAAAATCATCTATTGTGATTTTCTGGATTTTGGTTTTATATTCCATCACTCACAGTTGAAGAGTACCTATGATAGAAATTACAGACTTCTACATGCTTTGCAAGTGGGAAAATCTGAAAAATCAGCAGTGTATCAAATACTTGTTCTCCCCACTGTATATATATATATATATACAGTATATATATAATTTGTATATTGCATTTTGAAAACTGATAAACCTCTGGTGAATATGAAGTTTTACAGGACAAAGAATACTTACCATCTCCCAGGAGACAAAGGTCGATAAAACAGTCCAGCTGGGATGCGCTGCTAAAGGTGACCAGGACATAGCACCTTTTCTTGTGTGTTTGACTGAATGACTTTTTCCAGTAAAACTCATGCCACAAGTTTTAGGAGTTATGATTTATTTTTTATTGGCTTGTTGAAGCCATCTGAGATGTTTTGGTCCCTACTATAATATTGCATTTGATAATTATATCTGTGTTCACAGCAGCATTGTCACTTTCTGGCTGCTCGTCATCGCCTCATCAGGAAATGGACCAGTTTGTTTTGACTTTGGTTAAAAAAGACGGAATCCAAGGAAGTATGTACTCAGTTCAGGGCAGAATTTATTTTTTGTTTTGATTTTAAAAAAGCATTATTATTAGTAAGGACAAGGACCATGTCGAAACGCTGTCTGTGGACTGATGTTAAAAAAATCACCCAGAGATCATGAGACAAAATCTTTTGTCCCAACTGCTATTAGACTCCTGAACTCTGTCGCTTGTTGGAATTTGGTGTATTGTTGTATTGTGTTTTTATCGGCTCCAGTTCATATTGCTTATGTTACTGTCTGACACTTCCTGTGTTTTTGTTTGTGCCGTGTGCTGCTCAAACGAATTGCCCCTGGTGGGATGAGTAGTCTGAATCTGAGGCACACCTTTTCCTTTTTATATTATTGAATCCTGTTTCCATCAGACCACCTGGTTGCATTTGAATACATAGGAACCCCCCAACCATTATTGTAACTCTAACCAAAAATCTCTTTGTTCCATCCAAAGATATCAGACGTTGGAACTATTTTGCTGCTGACCAGTTGCTGGTTTATGATATCACCAACTATCGCTGGTGTGAAAATGTGGCCAGATTTCACAAAAGCAACAACATCCTGTGTGTATTTTTACTGACTTGTTTATCTGCGCCTTTTACTTTTCTGAACGTGTTCTCTTCACATACAGGATAGTTGTCGATCTCAAAGAGGAGGTGTGGTATCAGAAATGCCACGACCCGGATTGCAAGAACTTCAGATCCTCAAGTATGTCTACCCTTGACATATGGTTGATTTTCTCATTACGGAAAAAAACGTAGTGTTGCATTTTTAGGATAACTAATACTGCCTACTTTATCAATTATATGGATGGTAACTGAGTTTGAAAAGTATACTCACCACAGATTTAATTTTTAATTAATATTTTGGAGGCAGCTTGTTCTTGTCACTCATGGATGTTACAACTTTAACATTATTTTGGCCTTGACCTGTTTCCCCAGTTCCAAAACTGGTCAGTAGGGGGAGGGCTAGAGCAATTGGGGATGCAGTTGTCATATTTTCAGGACAGGAGATAATGGATGAAATGAAGATGAAAGAATAATCATGAAATATCAATTTTGGCTTGAATTAAATATACTTTACCAGCTAATGTTTGAAATAATCAGACAGGAAAGTTGAATACTTTCCTGTTTTTCAATAGATATGTGAAAACTTTTAAATATTGAAGATTTTGCAGATGATAATTTAGAAAATGTAGGTAATTAATATTCTTTAATAATCTGGTGATAGAATCCTTTTGAATAAATACAAGAAATTGGCCCCAGGGCAACAAATGTAGATTGTGGCCATGGATGTCAAAAATCTGATTTTGTGCCCAAATGATAAAATCATTTAAATATATATTTATCAATATTATCATTCACAAGACACTCATTTGTGATGTCTCCAGGTTACCCACTGCCACTGGAGATGTGCTTAAGTTATCTCATTGAACTGGTATGTTCCTTTTTACTTCTTTTTTTGTGTGTGACTATTCCACACACGCATTGCAGCAGTGACAAACTCTCTCCTGACAGGATGAAGAAGATCAGGTGTATTTAATGGACGACACAGGCAACATTGAACTCAGCCAGACTCAGACGAAAGTTCCACCACAACCCCAGATCGAGTCACAGCCAGAAAAGACCTGTGCAGGCACCTGGGACGATTCGCAGGATGACCAGGACTATTTGGAAAGTCTAGATGCCTTTGAACAAAACGAGGAGCTTCCAGATAAGCTACTTTTGAAATGTATGGATAACTTTGAGTCCCAATAAAGGGGATTTCTCAATATTCTGAGTGAAGATGGTCCCAAAAGATGCTCCAAATTGCCACATGAGCTTCTGCATCTAGTCTCTGCAACAATATTGCTTCCCACAAACAAGTAAAGTTTTACATATGTTTATTGGTGCAATCCGGTCTACACACACATTTAGTTTAATTAAAATAAATGCAAAATAGTTTAGCCTACAGTACACCAGATTCTTTGACTATTTGAGCATATTGTACTCTCTTGAAGCAGATATGCTAATGAAAGTTGGAACAAACAAGACATAGCATTAAGTATTTTATGTTTAAGGGAGAAATAATTTTATGAAACGGTCGTTATAGTAAATACTTTATTCAAGCCTAAAGCACTGGACATGATGGCAATCTTCAATCCATAAAAATATGTGATCATTTTAGCATATTTACAAGTTCAAGAACAGAGATAAATAGAAAAATGTTTTGTTAGTACACCAATAGACCAGTGACACCCCATTATGCCTTTTTTTCCTGGACATTTTTCAAATTCTAATAAATACAAATCCTTAGGGTATCTGCATAAATCCCTCCACAATAATAGTGATTTTAAATCTGACGTACATAACTACATCTTAATATTGGCGTACATGGTATCAATCTGGTCTCTAAAGTGGTTGCGTAGCTCCATTCGTTTGGCCTTTAGCGTCGGCGTGAGGAGACCGCTCTGCACCGAGAACATTTCCGGGTGGAGGGTGATGTCTCGCACCTACGAAAGGATAACATTTAAATAAGGAAGGCAAAGATTTATACATTTTTGGGAATGTCTCATTTTAATCCCAATGTATTGTTGTATAAAGAGACATTGCACAGAATGAAATAAAGATTTATAAATACTACACATTTTTGGCTAGTTCGTTGACGTGCATCTTGCTGGACAGCAGTGGTCATAACTATCTACTGTTGCTGTTTTTAGTGTGTGGTGTCAGAATTCCTTTTCATCTTTATAACATTTGGAAGTGCATAAGAAAGTCACCTGTTCAAAGGACTTGAGTCCAGCCTCTTTTCCCAATCTCAAAATGTCCTCCAGAATGGCATTCTTCACCTCCTGAAAACAGAACAATGGAAAAGAATACTAAAAGGTTCAATCAAGTTTGAATATGTTTTTTTTTTTCAAATTGAACAAGAGGAAATAAATACATACATATACAACCATTTTTCAAATTTGTAAGATGAGCCTTGTGATACGACACTTGATACTGAGAATATTCCATCTGTTCTAAGGTTATGATAGAGGCTCAAAGGGGAAATGCTTGTGAAAACTAATTTCTAAATTACCTTGCTGCAATAGTCTTAAGATCTTTGAATTTGTCCCACAATGCGGAAAATTTCAGTGTTGCATCACCGGTTACAGAACAGTAGGAATGAGGAGCACGCAACAAGATTAATGAACAATAACTACTAAAATAAAAACTATAGCCAAATTAAGCAGCAAGTATAAAATCTCTAGCTTTAGCATGATAAGGAAGCACATCTAAGTTTAGCACGATGAAGATGCAAGAATGAAGTCTAAAATCACAACATATTGTATATTAAACAATATATATATATATGTATATTCTAGTGCAAGAAATATAGTACGTATACATATGTACATGTTAGTCACTTTGTCCGCACCCTCATGCTGCTAAGTAAGGTGACAGTGAACACATGTGGTTTCATATTGCACATTCTGACTAGTTCATATCATTGCGCAGATGCCCGACATGTGAGGTCACGTGGGCAGTGTTGGTTAGTCCTCATTGTTCGTTGTACAGGGCTATTACCTTGTTACTGCATAGTTCAGCGAAAGACCCCTGAATTCCTTTTTTCTTGAGCCATAACGGTAAATAGTCAGGATCTGGGACAACTATCCCAACTAGACAAGCCTAAAACATAAACAATGAGAAAGCGGATACATATACAGGATGTTTGAAAAGGATGCTGAGAGCAAAAACAAACCTGTAAACTGTCTCCATGTACAAATATTTGCGCAACTGGGTCGCTCCGAATATAAACAGTTTCAATTCTCTCTGGTGCAATATATTCTCCTTGAGCCAGCTTGAATATGTGCTTCTTCCGATCAATAATCTTCAGAGTACCGTTCTGTAAAAGTGGAAAAGTGTATTTTTACAACTGGGATTCTCATTATGGTTGAATGCGAGAGACTTACTGAAAGCCATTTGCCGATGTCTCCCGTGTGCAGCCACCCGTCCTGGTCAAGGGCTTCTGCGGTTTTCTCTGGATCCTTTAGGTAACCCTTGAAAACGTTTGGTCCCTTGACGCACACCTAGAGCCATAGAACAAAAGCAACATATGATTTTTGCTGCGATAGAACTGATGCAGACTGATCAGTTTTTGGGGGGTTTCTGCAGCGCCATCTTGTGTTCACATCACTACATTGCGGGATTATTTTACAGAAATGTTAAAACGTGTCATGTTGAGCATTGATAATAGAACATTCCCATAGGCAGTTTGAGTGAAATCTGGTCTAAGTATTTATGTGCCAAAGTGGCTGCATTACTACATGAGCTCATGAATCCAGGACACTGTCTATACAGCAACCTGGCTTGTCCAACAAACATCTACATGCATTATTCTTACATCTTTTTCATGTATTTATTTTTGTTATTGATATTAGTAGTCCTCTATCTCTTTAAAAATGACAGGGCTTATCTAAAATGTCCAGGGGGAAAAAAAAGAGTTAACAATTATGCAAATAAATGAGGAAAGTGCTGTTTTTAAATGAATACAAAATAATGGCGTATACGCATTCGGGAGTTCACAATTCACTGTCTTTAATCAAGACAGTATATTGTGAAAGTGAAAACTAAATAAATTCACCTCTCCTTCTCCATTGGCTGACAGATAATTCATTTCTGCTACATCCACCAGTTTAACAATATTGCAAGGAAGAGGAGGTCCTACGTTGCCTGAAACAAAAGAAACATAATAAAATTTGCATAGTGCTAAAAATCAAAAAAGTATTCTTTTTTTTCAAGTGAACAGACCTGCAGTCCAGTCTCCAGGCATTGACATAGAGCATCCAGCTGTGCATTCGGTCTGACCGTAACCTTCATAAAACTGTGAACAAAGAAATAACGGCCCTCATAAACCTGTGTGGTCTGATGCAGTGAAGAACTTCCGCAGTATATTGGTTGAATAGTTTGGCAGTGGCTCACAGTCAAAACGATCGATCATCTAAGTAGATCTATGTGATCTGCCGCTACTCCCCACGGTGCAAGGAATTATGGTATTGCCCATAGTTGTCGGAGTTGTAGTAAGTATCAATATTCAGATTTCAATACTAAAACTATGTATCAAAACAAAAGGTAATTCGCAAAAAAAGATATGTTAAAAAAATATAACAGTTATGTCCAATAAAAATAAAGAATGTTTGTGAGAAAATATTTTTAAATGTGCTGTAAATAGATAAACATTTTGAACATCGTAATGAGGAGAGGAATACATCTTTAAGATTTTCAAAACGGAATAATCTATTAAATCAACTCCTCAATTATAGATTCTGATAGAATGACATGAACAAGCAAAATGATAGTATGTATTTAATTTATCAGAAGCATAAAACATTGTAGCGCCACATAAAATATTATTATTAGAGTTGAAAAGGAGCATATATAAATAACTGCCATGGTGTTTGAATTGGTATTGACTTGAGGCAGGTGCGTAGGATTAAGTTAAATCAATAATACACACTGCCAGTCCTTTGTAAACAGAATTTTTAGGGCAACGTTTCAGCCTTCAAGCTAAATGTCAAGTTTGGAATTTAGTATTTTGAGAACAAGTAGTGAATTCTCCATTTAAAGGTTATGAGTGTTGTCCAGTCCACTCATGTCTGCGGCCTCAGACTGACCTGACAGCCCAGAGCGGCCCGGAGGAAGGTCAGGATGACAGGAGACACCGGTGCTGCTCCGGTGATCATCATCCTCACTCGACCCCCCAGACTTTCCTAAAAAAAAAAGATAATCGAAAAACACAATAAAAATACAAATGTCATGACAAACACAATATCAATTTGAGGAAAATGTACCAACCTGGACTTTTTTGAAGATAAGTTTGTCCCATATGCTGTCTCGTCTGACCACACCGTTGAGCAGCTCAGATTTTTTTCTTTCAAAAGCAAAATCTAAAAGCCATCGTTTCATTCGCGTATTTGCTTGACTGAAAATCTGGGGAAAGGAGGAACTGTAACTATATATTTTTTGATGAAGTTCACAAGACAAAAGATAATCGGTTTTACCTTGTCGAACATGCGGTTTAGAAGGCGTGGCACAACAGGAAATACAGTTGGCTGAAGGGTTTTTAAGTCATCCATCAAAAGTCTAATATCTCCTTGGAAGAATCCAATACAACCTCCATGGATGAGAACCACGGACTAAACAAACAAAAAACAAATAATGTAAATAACAATACAGCGTAATTCAACACTTTAACAATCACCAGCTTTATAAAGTACGCCAAGATATCTATCGTTGTTATTTAGGGCTATACAAAAATTAATTGAATGGAAATCAGGCAATGATGGTTGTCTTTTTGTGAGTTTCTCCCATTTGCTCAGAAGCTGAGTCTGACTGACCATCTGGCTCTTGGTCACCTCCCTGACCACGGCCTTTCTGCTCTGGCTGCTCAGTTTAGATGGACAGCAAGCTCTAGGAAGAGTCTTTGTGGTTTTGAATTTTTACATTTCCTGATTTTGAAGTTATGTTCTTTGGGCTCCAATGTTTTCATATCCCTCGCCAGATCTGTGCCTCAATATATCGCTGTCTCATAAGCTTACAGACAGTTTCATTTCAATCATGGGATTGGACCTAAAACAAAAGGTATGTCTCTTTCCAAATCCAGTTAAACCAGAGGAATTCCTCACAGGAGCCAGTACAGTTTTAGAAACAGGAAACAGAAAAATTGAGTGTTATATCAAAGGGTGGGGATACTTTTTGAGGGGGTGGGGGGATAAATTACCAATATTAACCTTTTGTCATCAAAATAAGAAATGTATAGATTTTAGAATAAAGCTGTAACTGCAAATTAACGGTGAATACTTTCTGAATACACTGTATAGATGCATATACATTTTGCTAGTGATATTAAAGCTGGGGTACTCAACGTTGGTCAATTCTATTCCCACTCCCAGAACTATGGGATAGTTTGATGTGTTTGCGGTGACCGCTGATTGGCTGGGAGTGGCTGAATAATTGTCTACCTTTCATCTGACAAAACACTGCAGAATAAATATGGAAATGTGTTGAATGTAGCACATTTTGTTGGTCTTAAAATAATTACTTGCAAAACTTTCAATGGCTTTTGCGCATTGATTGAGAAATGTTTACATGTTCCAAATCTTGTTCCAAATTTCCAAAATGGCAAATCTTGTTTTAAGAGAGTCAGAATGTACTAGTCAAAACTGCTTGATAAAATGTTCTTAATTTGCAGTGAGCTTTGATACAATAGTCGCTTCCTTCTTTCAGTTCAAAAAGAAAGTACCCCAGCTTTCGTTTAAATATGTGTAACCAAATATACTTCCTTAATGAAGTCTGAGCTGATTAGGAAAAGCAAAATTAGCACTACTACATACCTGCACCACCCTCTCAAACATGTGAGCGAGAGGCAAATAGGACACATGAATATCACTGACACCCAGCGTGCATTGTACCTGCAAAAACACACAAAACACATGCAAAAAGGCCTCGCGAGCACACAATATACCTCCACAACTCGCTCAAACATATGGGCCAGAGGCAGGTAGGAGATGAGCACGTCTGTATGGGAGGCCTTGCGCGTGCCCTGACCACACAGCAGAGAAGTCCACGTTAACACAGTCGGAAACAGCTTTAATGATCAAGTTTCAATACATCTGTCATTACTAGAGCCCGGGAATAACATAGCAGAGCATTTTGGCATTCACAGCAAAAGTTTGGCAATTCTCAGACAAATAGTACTGTACTTTATACACTTTTCAAATCGTGTTCATTGTTGTTTATTTTTAGCCGAAAGTCCTAGTTCACACATTTCTTTATCAGTCCATTATCCATGTGCGGGTTTCTTTCCTTTTCAAGTGCAAGATGTGACACTTTTGAATGCTTTTTACACATTGATTTATTCCAAGCTTTTTGAATTTTCACAGGAATAAGTTTATGTTTAGGTTATGTTCTTGCAGTAGAGCCATTATGTGACCATAAGTTGCATTTTTTGTGTAATGGTCATGCAAGGTTTTACAGTACAATATGAACAATCAGAAAGTGTTACAACAAGGTGCCAAATGTGTACTACTCTCTGGCCAAATAAAATGATGAATGACACATCTTATTCCATGGCATTTTTGCTGAACTTTTTAAATTGGACATAAGATACGTCTATTGTATTCAAAATGCGTCATTTAATTCAATTTTTACTTTTCAACTGTTTGCACAATGATTATTTGATCTTATTGAGGACAAATGTAACATGTAAAAACATGTAAACATTCTCTCTTGTGAGATCAATAAACTTTTTTCTTATCTAAGCTCTTAAATGCAACTATAGCACAAATATAGCACAATTTGAAGATGGATGTGTGGAACTAACTTATAGTTACTAAGCTCTGAAGCTGTAGATTTGCAGATTTGTTTGGGATATAGTCTCTGTAAAAAAGTTGGGTAAGTGTCTTGCTCAAAGACATAACTGTATGCACTGGTCGCAGCAGGATTTAAACTGAGGACCTCTTGAACTGCTGCTCAAGGAGTGTGATGAATGCAGATGTACAACATGGAAATATGAGCATTACATAAATACATTTAGTTAATCTCATCTCTCAGACCATCACACATTCCATGCTTTATTACCTGTGTTAGTTTGAGAAAAGCAGCCGTGTTGGAGATAACATTTCTATGACTTAACATCGCTCCTTTTGGATTCCCTGAATCACAAAATATTGGAATTAAATAAAATTAAATAAAAACTTTTTGAATGTGTGTTAAACAAAAAGTTCTACTTGCCTGTGGTTCCAGATGTAAAGCAGACCAGTGCCAGGTCATCTGGTTCAGGAGGCTATGCACATTAGCAATACCACATTAGCACTACTACTACAATATTGTGGATTATTGCATATACGTCTTACCTGTGGGGTTTGGTGATTGGCATGTCCCAAGGCCTGGAAAAAATGTGGTCCACTGATGAGAAATGTTTAATTATTCATGCTTTAATTGGATAAAGTTATTCGATCCATAGGGAAATTACCCTGCTCTGAAAGTTATCAACATAGACCGTAAAAGAAGTGGACAGACAGAGCCACCCATAGGGTTTGCAGCTGATTAGAGCTCAGGCCTCATAGATAACAACTATCTGAGGGCTCATATCAAGAAGACAGCCATGAACACTTCCTTAACAGGCTAGAGCTGTGAGACCATCCCTATACATTCTATGCCTAAGTCTGGCAGGTCGACTAAAATGGAATTGCGCAACTATAAACAAAGGGGCCCGCATGTTTCCACATGTATCCCCCTGGGTCGAACAACTGTCTGTCAGACTTTCTATTTCCGGGAACGTACTAAGGAAACATGCTGGCTGGGAATTGAACCAAGACTGTGAGTGAGGTCACTCAGCTGCTGTGCCGCTCGACAAGAGGCGTCTGTGTAAAGTACAGGGAGCACAGAAGAAGTTTTGTCCTGATATTGGTCCATGTTTTGTTTTTTTACAGCAGTAGAAAATGTATTGAATTGATGAAAAGTATTCAGCACTATATTTCTCTCACCTCAAAGTCTTTGAAGCTCACAATGTCGATGCCAGACTCCGTTCCCAGTTGGACCAAATCATCATCAAAAATCTCGATGATCACAACAGTCGTCACTGTCCCCCCTTTCAACTTGCCGTAGTCCAGGATCAACTTGGCTTTATCAGCAACATCACAGATCACAGTGGAAATAGTGGCTAAAGAAGAAACTTTAGTTACCAACAAGCCTTTCAATTACTTTGACCACAACTTGGAGAAATACCTTGTTGCAGAATGTAGCCAATGGCTTCTCTCCCCAGAGTGTCATAGAGAGGCACAGCCACCAGGGACTGGGTGTAGCAGGCCAGTTCAGAAATGGACCACTGAAATAATAAAAACATACTTTTAAACCATTGTCTCAAAATATACATAAATAAATACAATAAAAAAATCTGATAAAAAAATAGTAAGAACTAAAGATTACCTCTGGTCTGTTCTGAGAAAAAATTCCAATGTATTTATCTCCTGTTTTTGAGTGGCCTTTGTGGAGAAGAGCTGAGCCAATGCCTTCTGCTTTGTTTGATACCTTCACATGAAGATAGAACATGTAGGAATTATTGTAAAGAAAATATAACCAAACCTAATATCTGTCTGCTCCATCTTATTCAAACTAAAACATTTCTCACCGACAATCACAAACATGACAATACAGTATATCATTGGCATTTTATGAGAAAGACTGATGAAAAGTGGTAATCAATTCTTTTGTATTTATCATTTTCCTTTCACTTCACAATTTTCTCCCTCTTTGTGTTCGTCTTTCACGTAAATTAATCTTCCGAATTAATCCTGTATCTTTGAAGAAGTAGTATCTTGCAGAAGTTGTTGTTGAAAGACACTGTACATTTACATATCATTAGGTTGAAATAAGAACTAATCTTTCAGACTTATCCTCGACGATAGACAAAAAAAACATCCAACAATTTTAAATTTGTTAGACCATTTCATAATTTAAAAAAAAAAGTTATGGAAACCTCAGAATAAGACTGCCATTCATAGGGCTGGTTAGGTTTTCTTGATCCGAGACATGGACCATCATCTGTGAAACACAAAAGTTAAACACAAATAAACAAAACAAAAGCTAGAGTAGACGAAGACGAAGGCGACTCACTGGACACTCGCTGCCCCCGCTGGAACACTTGGTACATTGTGAGAGCGTCATCGTAGAAATGTGTCAGGTATTCGTTCTCAGGAGAAAGAGTCGACCTTCTGGCCCGTTCTTCTCCCTACAACCGCACAAGAAATTCAGGCCCCGCCACAACTGATGTGATGGATCATAGAAGACAGGTGAAACTCGGAATACAAGACAATCATTCAAAAGAATAAATGTATCAATACAGCAGAATGAAACACATAGAATAAACATGTTGAATTAGCCATTTCCTGATACCAGAATATTTGTAACAAAGTGTAATTTCCGATCTACAGTCCGCCACTTTTCCTAGTTCTTTGAATCCTGAGTCATGTAGCTGTGCATGATTGTGGTAGAGTTGACTAATTATTTTGACTCCATCAAGTTTTCGTAGCTATAGGACACTTATTTATTGTCAAAACAGACTGGTGAATGAGTCATGGAAACTAAAGGTTAAGTTTTTAAACACCTCATTATTAGATCATGTGGTGAGCGGTTAAAACAGTCATCTATCTGCTACATTACAATATGAAAAACTGAAGCTTGAGTGCGGCCTATACGCGCACAAAATGTGACTTTCTTTTAAAATGCCAATAATATACAGTGACTAAAGATGCAGTCAGTGACACGTCCCTGAACCCTAAAGTAGTCAAGTTATCATGTGTTTTCAAATAGTAATGGAATTGACCAGATGCCTATAGTCTCCAAAAATTAATAAAAAATATTTTGGAGTGGACAGAAAAAAATTAACCAATGGGATTCGTTCATCCCCAACGAACCAATAGGGTGCGTTTACCCCCTTCACCCACTTCCTGCTTCTTGAGAGTGTGCGCACCTGAGTTATCGGAATATTTTCTAAAACCTAAAATGACTGTACATAAATGCCGATTTCATGTTTGCCACCCACTCTCCCTGTGACAAAGAAAATAAAATGCTGAATGTTTGGTTTGGGGGAGAGGCAAGGGGAGGGGTTTCAAGTTGGTGCGATGGCTAAGCTAACTGCACCTTTAAGTGTCCAGTCTCGTTGATATTAGTTGTGTCATGCTTTGTCATTATGTAAATGTCACAATTTCTAGATACAGATTTCCATATTTTTATTTTGGTTTCTGCTCTGGACCTGTGTGTGTTTATGTGTTATCGTGTGCGTTTACATTTGTTCATAAGAAAAACGGGTGAACAGAAAGTAAAGGTCTGCAGCGATCTGAGAGATGAGAGAGTGGCACTTACAGGCAGCTCCACAGACTGCAGCGACAGGTCAAAGGGAGCCATCAGGGCTTGTGGTCGAGTGGCAAACCAGTACGTAGTGAAGGCCGCGACTGCTCCTATGCCCATCAACGCATGGGTCGGAAGACTGCGTATATACTGCCGCACGTCATCTAACTCAGGAATCCTCAGCTGTCTCAGGACTTCCTGAGCCTGCATGTTCCAAACTTACCCTGCGCGGAGAAGACAAGTCTGTTAGAAAGGTTATGGAGGCAGGTGGAATGTACACAGTGCAGACCTGAACCAAAGCTTTCGAATACATCGTCATATACTATGTCTCATATGTATCATAAAGACTACAATTACACAGGTAGCAGAACTCCTCCACTGTCACCATTATGCACAGTTATTATATTTGACAAGCTCAGTCCTCTTGTTTGAAATGGGCTACAAAGTCCAACTACTGCAACACTAATGAAATATCTATGATACAACTGTACATGAAACACAATCTCTACAACACAAAACAACAAACAACGGAAGATGTACGACTAGACCATTGTGATTGGACAAATCAAAGTGATTGATTTTGAGCAAAAATTGGTACACACAGAGCTAGATTGAATACATAATTATGAGTTTTATAATAAAGAGCTATTCTTGTCATGTTCCAAATCCATGTGTTGTGAACATTTAATCTAATTTGTTCAAGTGTGTTTGATAAAGCATTCGCTGGTTTATGGTCTACATAAAAAGCCAATTTGGTAACTTAAATACATGAGGTTTCCATTTGGTTGATAATAGACGTTCTATAATAAAAAATAAAAAATACCCAGTTTTCAACTTGGCTGAGTGCATTGCAAGAGTATACTGTATTTCTGTCAATAAGTTTAATGTGACGTGAATAGTAATCCTTGCATCACTTGAAACAATGCTTTCTGCTTCCAAGTAAAAATGTGTGTGTGCCAGTATTTATAGTATTAAAGTGTATTTTCCAAACTGAGCAGCTGTGGTTAGGGACACACTTGTAGGAGACATGTGGAGTCCATCACAGATCACATGCTGCACTAACGCTCTGGACTGGGAGGAAATGAGGTTTCCTGGTCAGGTTCCATATAAATGCCTTTAGTGAGAAAAGTACATCTCACAGCTGGGGCAGAGCACACAAGACAGCGGCCAAAAGAACATGTCACAGTGACTTGGAACCACTGCAAACTTACCAAGACGCGACCATTCACCAAACCTAACAAACTGAACAAGGAGAGCACTGATCAGAAATGCGACCACGAGGCCCACGAGGAGCTGCAAACTTCTGCTAATGAGCTGGGAGAAACTGTGCATGTCGTACTCACACGAACCTGGCCTTTAATGACAAGTGGTAAGAATAAGGCCAGTATTGAAAGAACGCCATAAGAAATCCCTTTTGCAGTTTGCCAGAAGTCACAGCGACCACGTGGAAGAATGATGAGACCAAAACATTGGGCAAATGAAAAATGTTATGGATAAGCACTGCTCAGCCCCAGTGTCAAACAGATGTGATATATAAAAAAAAAAGTGATTAATGTTGAACAACACAGGTTTCTCACCTACATTGTCCCAGACCCTCATGCTGCTAACATGCCAATGTATCCACACAATGTTTGCCTGTGCATACAACTGAAGGATTTTATCTAATTTTTTAATGCACTGTGGTTATTTATTTATTTATTCTTTCATTCCTTGTGTAATTTTAAAGTTTTAATGGTTTTAAGTCCTTGTGTGATTTTAATGTTTTTATTGTGATTCTGGTGTTTGTTTTATGTGATGATTTGTTCCTTGAGTGATGTGGACTGTGAAGCGCTTTGTGTTGCCCTGTGTATGAAAGGCGCTCTACAAATAAACTTTGATTGATTGATCTCTTAATCTACATGAAATAAATCTAATCTAATACAAAACAAGGCAACATTCTCTCTGGAGATAGACTTATTTGGTGCATTTCAATGGAATGTTTGGAGTAATAACATTTAGACTAAGCTTGTGCCCTTTTCCAGAGACAGGTACGTGGAGAGAGTAGTGATGTTAAATCAACTACACACATAACCATAATAATAAGGTTATGTATGAAGGAGTTTGAATCACATCCCAACATCTCTATTGTTTATTACTCTAACTTGTAAATATGTGTAGGTATGGTGTTGGTCTCTCTCAGCATGCACTTACACAGGCCTGCTTCACCTGCTGACCTCCACAATGGACAGGTCATGTCCAGTTTGTTAAGAGCAATGACAACAATTGACTTCTCACCCACTTCTATTATTAACACTGAGCACATGACTGACTGGTCCACTGCCCACTTGGAGAAAGTGTACACACATGCTGGCTCGCAGGTCACCTTCAATGTAGAACGTAACAAGGCTCCACACACAACATTCAGTGTTGTCAAATGTCAATGATATGCCGTCTGCAGATTCATGAAGTACAGAGCAGACTTGAGGATAAAGGAATGTTTGTGTTGAGCATTATATAAGGCTAAATAAATATTATGTTCAGAGAGGTTCTTCATATGTTTATGGTATGATGTGGCCAATTTGGCTACATTTCTGTTAATTAACTGTTTAGAGTTAAGGAGTTAAGGCTAAGGTTATATTTTTATAAAACAACTTGTTTTACAACACAAGAAACACAATGTTTCCATATTAAAACATTGCATATTTAGTATAGAAATAGGATTACTATCACTACATCACTATTTGAAATGTTAGTCAAAACTAGTCATAATGCAGCGGCATGTGGCCGTAAAAGACTTCCCAAGCAGCAGAATGCAGCCATAAACAGCAGCATACTGGATTCTCATCACATTGCTATGATAATGAAAGTGATCAACATATTTCAGAAAAGCTTCCTCTTTCCTCCTTACTCACAGTTAAAGTTCCAGTAAAACAGTGCAATCCCACAGAGCTGGGCAGGCCCTTTCTGCTGCTGCTGCTGCTGCTATTAGGAGACACACTCTTCGACCTGTAATAGACCTCCGACACTTTAACCACTATGAATAGCAAAGACCCTCCCCTGATTTAAACAGTGGCGCTCCTCCAGGAGCCAACATACAGCTCACGCGCCCAAACAGAAATGTCATTTGTGACCAGTGACCATAGGTTATGAGGAACACAAACTGTTTTCACTCATCGCTTGTGGCTGTGTGTAGTATATATTATCAAACAGCTGTGTTTCTATTTTCATGAGAAAAGGCAATTGAGACGCTCTAGGAAGACCTCACACGTGCAGTTCAGGCAAGGCAGCCCAGGATTACAAGAGGAGGCTTTTTCCCAAGAAGAATGGGAAGCTTTGCCAACAAAGTTGAGAAAGAAACTCATCCACGACTACCACAGAAGGCCTCAAGCTGCCAAAGATGTTAAAGAGAAATACACACCATTGAAAACTGATCAGGGGCACAGTAGTTTATGTCGTCGTTAAAATTTGAAGATGGAAAACATGTTTATTTGACTTCACACTAACAATGAGTATTTGCGTTATAATTCCATCCACAGAGCACCAGCCCCTCACTGATCCTCCTGCAGGTGGTGAGTCCACAGGAGCCTTGCGTTATAATTCATAATCGCCAAAATATGGCCTGAAAAATCTAAATTTCTTCCTGTGCACAACTGTATTCATGTGTCTAGTTGTGCATTTGTAAGTAACTTTATTAAACGATATCTGACAAAAACATGTTAGTACTGCTGCAGTGTTAAACCAGCTTTACCAAATTAAGTTGAAATGTGGAAACTGAGGGTGTCCTTCGTTTTGGGCATTTTGAACAAAGAACTATTGCTTCATTAATGACTTCACAATGACTGTTAAAGTCTAAACTGCAGCCCAGGGAGAAATGTAACTTTTTACTGAATTATATCAAAATATATTACAACATCATACGTCAAGACAGAAAGATATTGAGTAAGTTTGAGTGACACACGGTGGAGTCAGAGGAAGCTCAGAGGGAGACGGAGCGTACAGGCTTCGCTGACTCACCAGCAATACACATTTAAACATTCCCCCAACGTATTAGATAGATACGTTATTGATTCCCTGCAGGAGAAAGTCAGGGGTCCAGCAGCAGAAACACATCCATGTCGTGACGGATAACATATATGCAACATATGAGCGTTTACATCAAAAGACCTCAGCCTCCTCAGGAAGAAGATTTTAAGATTCAAGAATTTGCCATTTGCAGTAAAACCACAGTGGGGAACCTGTGCAAGACTACCCCAGTGTGCAGCAGAATAGCACACACGCACTTCTGCCACAGCGCCCTTTTTAGGGCGTCATGCGGAAAAAGAAGAAGTCTGCTCAAAGAAGAGTGACGCTTTACTGTTAGTGCTCGTTCTCTTCTTGTTTCAGGGCTCCACTTAGTGTCACATTTCTGAAAAAAAACTCTGGTGTCTCAAGGGTTAACAGTTTCCAGACAGACACTTCCTCAAACTCTCTCAGCTCTCACTGGAGATCTGAAAAGAGCGGACTGCGAAGAGGACTTCTGGGGCTTCTGGGTGAATGAGTGCAGTGTTCCATGCTCAAAAACATCTACTTCAACAAAACAAAAAAACAACAAATGCACAGTTTGAACCTCATTATGTGCATACGGAGGCTTAATAAATGAGGTCCCACTCGTCTACTTGAGTAATTGAAATGTGCACAAGGTAGTTTTGAGGGAGAGGGAGCTGGATTCTCCACAAACTGTTTGTGCTTGGAAACAGTGTGCAATTCTCCATGGAAACAAGCAAGTGACTACCAGTACCTTAAGTTTATTTGTTAATAAAATGGAATAAACTAAATAGAAAATCCGATTCAACAAAATAGAAAACCTACATATCACAGAAATGACAACTGCAAACATGAATACATTCTTAGTATTGTTAATTCTTTATCTTAAGAATTGAATTAGTCTTAATCTATTACGTTCATTAGAACAACTATAATGAATACAAACCTCTGGGAACACATATGTAAATGTTATAGTTATTGCTGCTCTTAAGCGGGATTTGGAGATAGAAATTTTATGGTCTACAATTGTACAAACTCTATATGAAGGGTCTTGCCATCCTCTTTCAGGTAGCTCCCCAAAAGATTCAAGAATTTAACACATGATCCTGAATAATTCACCTTTGAGTTATTGCATATTTATTTTAACTATAAATCTCTTGAATGATATATTGTGTATAAATATCCCCATGATTGGCTGTAGTTATTAT